TGATCTTGAGGAAGGTATGCCAACTCAATCATTTTTAAAAATTTATTTATTTTATTTATGGCCGCTCCCCTCAGCTTGCGGGATCCCTGACCAGGGATTGGACCTGAACCCTTGGCAGTGAAAGCACAGAGCCCTAACCACTGGACTGCCAGAGAATTCCCAACTCAATCATTTTTAAAAATAGAAGGTTGGTTTGCCTTCCTAACGACTCCCAGATCTGAGAATCTGCACATCTCTAGGTTTTGAAGAAGAATCTAACCAATGGCATTGGTTATTAGCATCTCAATCCTAGCCAATGCCACTGCCTGACCTGACACATGGTAACTAAACAAACCAACAGAAAATCCACTAGAACTAAACACTAAGAAGGATTTTAAAGACCCAAGCATAGAATCAAAATATTTCCTGAGCCAGTTTAATACCTGGTGTTAATAAGTGACCAAAAGCAGCTTCAGAGTGTTTCCAAAATAGGTCGGTACTTTTCTTTTGGCAAATTCAACCTATGTAGGAAACAGTTACGTTATTTTGTTCAACTTAACTAGAAGACGACCTATGTACCCTCTTAAATCAGTTAAGTTGATCTGAAAAGAAGGTCCAAGGATCACGACAGGTGTTAGAAGCTTAGAATTTGAGAGCAGGATATTAATCTCGTCTGCTCCCATGATTTCACAGGTAAGGAAACACTCAGCGAAAATTATCCGAGGTCAGATTCAAAAAAGAACCTCAGTTCTCGAAATGTAGAGCCCAGGCATCTTTCTAAAATACCATGGCAGATAAAAAGAAATCTTCATAACAAGATTTATAAATATCAGAAAAGGGTTTAATATTGCAATTTCACAGTATTTTATCGATAGTTACAAAACTCTGAATGGAAACAAAAAGCAGATTTGAGTTTAAAAAGTTTTTATCGTCAAAAAAAAAAAAAAAAAAGAAAAAGAAAACATAATTGATAGAACCGGACCCTCTAAATGTATTGGCAATTGGAAAAAGTCAGTTTGTTGACTTTCCCTCTCTCCTGGGTTGTCTGCACTAACTGTATTTTGAAAGAAGTATTTCACAATTTTCTCCTTGTAATCCTCAAACTGATTTTAAAAAATTCGTTTGTTTTCAGAATGGACTTTTGCTTCTCCTTGTATCATATCCAGTCTGGCAATAGGAATACCAAGGTCATTTTTTCATTCATTTGTTCTAGCAATGCTTTTTTATTTTGATCAGCACTAATATTCCTTAATAATTCCTAGGTGATCCTAAATAGCCATGAAATCTGTTTCCTTCCTGAACAAACTCTGATTTTGTTTTGTTTCTACTGACCCACGTCAACTATTTACCGAAAAACACAATAGGACTGTGTCAACAGCACATTTCAGCACAGAATAAGGTGTATCTCTGGTTATAGACCTGGCTGTTACACTGCTCTTGGTGGTGGTGGTGTTGAGAGGTAGTTTTTCTAACTCAGCGAAATTCTAACCATCGATGGTCCTAGTTCTCCTTCTTTGGATTTATACAAATCCACATAATTTAGCACTTACCTGTGTACATAGTTGTTTTGGTTCCACGTTGCTTTCTACCTGGATCTTAAACTCCTTGAAGTCAAAGAGCACAGATTCCACAAACAATCTGACTGGCAGAGAGGGAACAACACAGGTGACGAATTCCCCATTCATTCCTCTGTGCCTGTTTGAATGCCATCGAGGCCGGGCATCATGCCAGGCACCAGAGATAAGGCTAGAGTTTGGCATCTCCTGCAGATGACAAAACAGGAGGACCGAACACATCGCACTGAAACATTTGCAGTATGCTTCACTGACCATGCACTCCTCATGAAAATCTCCATGTAAAGGAAAAACGATTTTTTTAAAAAAACCTACTTTTTTTTCTTTTAATTCATCCACTTTGTGGTGAATGTCAGGTTGATCAGTAATTGATTAGATTCCCTGTCTCACCTCCGCCCACCCCCAGGGGTGTTGTGAGACGGGGCAAGGAAAATGGTACCTTGGAGAGAAAGACCACAAAAATCTCAGCTTCTTCCGTTTGTCAAAACACCATTTAATGCTTTGGGAGGAAACTGATCCTGTATTCTTTCCATCACTCTGGAACATTACGTGTCAGAACAACGGGAGCAAAGGAATCTATGACAGCGCTGAACCGTCCATGGAGGAAAGGAAGCTTATTGGCCCACTCCATTAGCGCATAATGCAATGCTGAGAGACCAACTTCTTTTAAGTAATTCTAGAACGTTGAAAACACTGGCTTGAATCTTAACATCCTCTAACGTCGGTTAGAACTACTGGACTTTTCTCAATGAATTTAGTTAAGACTGTTTTTAAATTGGAAAAGCGACAATTGCCATGACATTTTCTGAATTTAAAATTCTCTGAAAGTTATATTTGGTACAAGAGGATGTCCTTTTCCCAACACTGTAGAAGTTCTCACCTAAGGTGGATGTCAGAGCAGTAAGGATGAATTCCTCCTGATGGAAAGGAGAGGCACATTGTGTGTGTGTGTGTGCGTGGAGGGGGAGGACAGAATTGTGGCTTTTTCTGACTAAATAATTTTTCCGTTCCTCTTCTTATCCCTAAGTTGCGCCCGCTCCTAAGTGCTGCAATATTTTGATTTGTTATTAACCATAATTACTGGCTGAATATAAAACTTGGATCGCTTTCCAAAAGCTGCAACACATAATCACTGCTTCTCAGCTGGGGGGTAACACCCTGATATTTGCGATGCTGGAAAGCATTAGAGGGCGTTTCAAGTCGTCCCAATGACTAGAGAGTGAGTGCTGCTGACACTCAGAGCCAGAGAAGCCAGAAGCTCTGCGGGAAGAACTGTGCTAACCCAAATGCTACGATGCCTTCGTGGAGAAACACCGGGAGACGTTGCAAAGACTCACACCCAAGATTGTATGAGTATTACCATTAAAACGTGACCTTAGGGCTTCCCTGGTGGCGCGGTGGTTGAGAGTCCGCCTGCCGATGCAGGGGACACGGGTTCGTGCCCGGTCCGGGAGGACGCCACATGCCGTGGAGCGCTGGGCCCGAGGGCCATGGCCGCTGAGCCTGCGCTCCGCAACGGGAGAGGCCACAGCAGTGAGAGGCCCGTGCACCGCAAAAAAAAAAAAAAAAAAAAGAAAACCAACAAAAAAAAACGTGACCTTAGAGATGACTGAATTGGTTTGACAAGTGCAGAGGATAAGGGCCAGCGAGGTTAGGGGTCATGACACTACCCAGGAAGAGGGGCCAGGGCCGGGTCAGGCCCGAATGTCCAGGCCTCTTCCTGCGCCAACACTTGTTCTTCCACAAAGCCCTTCACACAGCTCTGGGCGAGTTACCGGGATGCCTCGGTTCTAAGAGATGTTAAGTCCTATGGTACTAAGTGACGTCAGGATGCACTGTGGGAGTAGAGTGGGCTGACAGGATGGGTCTCAACGGAGGCCCAGATTCCCTTATTAAGAAGTGCACGCCAAATGGAGTGCATTGGACTTTCCATGGACCACTGTTAATTTTCTACGATCATTTCAAATAACCACTTTTTCATGTCAACTGCACACGTAGCATTAAACAGTGTAAACACGGACTTGACCCTTAAGCCATCTCGACTTGTGTCTTCTGCCCTCATATTCCTTAGCACAATTTTCTTAATAAAGTCTTAATGTAGTGTCCCTAGTGAATGTTTCCATGTATCTTAGTCACAGAGAGGAAAATCTATCTCTGCAGCCTGAATTCCCAGGGAGAGTGCAATCATCCCGCGTGCCTGGGCCTTGAAGCCACAACAGGGTGTCTGAGGTACAGACACCTCTGGTGTCTGTCAAGGTTGCCTCAAGTCCCCAGGCAAACTCTTGCGGGTTGTGGGCCCTGCTCCCTGGCAGCTCTTCGCAAAGGCGGGACGGCACCGTTTCAGGCACCAGCACCGCCACTCTTCCTGTGCTTCTCGCGCAGAGTCGGGGGGCGGGTGGGGGGCGGGGAGAGTGACCAGACAACCTTGAGGTCACTAACCTGGCTGAGAACGAGGAATGGCACAGGCTTCAGCAAGCATGCCTGTTGTGAGAACTGTCATGAAATGCACCCCATCCCCCGAGCACTGGTCTCAAGAGGGTCTGAAGGGACACTTTTCTAGTGGAAACAACTGCCGCTGAGATTTAAAACCTCTGTATAACTCAACGTGCCAATGTCAATTTGTAGAATTACATCAACCAAAACTGTGATGCTCCACGGCCCCACCCTGGAATTGGTGATACAGATGCTCTGGTGCTTACAGACTTCCCGTACAGGCCGGTCTGGTGGTAGGCTGGTATTGCACAGCACCCTCCACCTGTAATTTAGTCGTCTCACGGACCAAGAGATTCATCAAGAGAAAAATATGGTTATACCTAGGCAGTTACACCAAGACAGTACAGAAGAATACACATGAGTGCGTATATACGTGTGTTGTGCTGTGTACTTACGAACGTATATGAAATGTATACACTTCATTCACTTGTTCTCTTAAAAATAACAACAAAAAAACCCCTAAATTCAACCACCACTCTTAAAAAACAAACAAAAAACAGAACGAGCAAACGAAACCCTCAGCTCCCTTGCTCTCCTAAATCAATCTGACTTCTCTTTTTCTGTTTCAGTGGGATAGGCTGATGATCCAGACCTTGGTCAAGGGCAGAGCAACCAGTCATGAAAGCCAAGAACAGTGACTTCAAGGGGTTCCAACCAGGAGGCTCTACTGTCTGTGCACAGAGGCAAGCGTCTCCCCACCCCAGGGGTCCCACTTCACCACTGCAGAGTAGCTTACAACGCAAGTGCCCATCTCTCTCCACCAACAAGCAAGTATTCGGGTCACCTCTCTGAATACATCTGGCTCCTATAACTTTCTCCAGTATCTGCCTCCCAAAAAGGCTAAGATTGCTGTGTCACTTACCACACTAGGAAGCTTTCCAAAGCCACCCATACAAGCATACCACTCCTCAGAAGAACCCTCTGGTTGTGCATAATTTAATAAAACTGACCATGTAGGATAATGCTGTTTATTAAAAATATATTCAGGGAGAAGGAAGTCAGTGCATTTATGCAATTTTACATACACATCTGTAGTTTGAGGTTCCATTATTCCAACAGTTCATATAAATCACTGTTTCAGATAAGAGAAAAAAATGCTTTACACAGGAGATCAGCAATTGGTTATAGGTTTGGTAATATGAGTAGGCTTGTTGTAAAAATAAAACCACCTCTTCCATTATTAAAGAGTGTCTCCTTATGCAGAACAAGTCTTTAGAGTTAAGAACTTTTTCTTGCATAAGAATTAACTTGAAGTTCTTGGAAAACAGCCAATCCTCCATTTTCTATAAATATAAATGCTATATTTTGTCTGGAATTTTTTTTCTTTTGAGGTAACAAAGGAAGCATTTTCAGTGATTTGTCACTAGGTTATCCCTTACTGGGTATGCCAACTACTGCAGCGTCAAACCTAAGACCCATACAAAAGCATTTCTCAGAGTAAGAAATACAGAGTATGACATTTTCAAACAATGTTCTCATTACAATAGGGAAAATAATGTGGGTCAAAAAAACAAAGCCCAAGATAAATGAATTAAAGGCTCGATCATCTTTGCTAATGAAGAATGAACAAGAGCATCCAGAATCCCCCCGGAAGGACTTGGTTTCTGAACGCACAGTTATGTCTTTCCCCAGCAAGTCTCCTTTTTCATCACATTCTTCCGTGGACTATCAGAAACATTCCCATCTCCTGAATTTACTGGCAGGAATCGGGAGCACAGCCTTAACGCCTGGGGAACTAAAGGAAAGACACACTCACAAGTCGCTGGCGATAATCCTTACTGCGGAAAATCAAGAGTTGAATCTAACTTCTTGGATGCAGAAGTTGGGGCTTTTTGTCCCTCGGCCTATGGCCTTTACGCACAGGATGCCCTGAAGAAGGGCAGGAAGTGACGTCAGCCAGCCAGCCGCACCTCTCCTTTTCATGTTATGTACCAAACTTGCAAGAATAGCCAAATGCAGGACAGACTTTAGAATACTCTCTTCTTTATGGAATATAAGGGAAAGACAGTTCTCGATCAGTACAAACACAGGGAACCAGAGCCGAAGCACAGGAAGAGAAAGAAAAGTCTGTATCCAATGAGAAGCTGTGTGAAAGGTTTCTTCTGCTGGGTTTGGCTAAGGCATCTAGAATTCTCTCCATGTCTGTTCCTGATGAGACTACCTAGCATTTACAATTCATTCACTTTTTTTGGGGGGGGGCTGGGAGGAGGGGAATACATTTAACCAACTCTTCCTTCTTAAATAGTGAGGACTATGTTTTCGTAAACAAAGCAGATCAAATCAGTAACTGTCTAAACGACAACGCCATAGGCAGTGTTAGCTGTGACTAACATCTGACTGACTCCACCTCAGCAAACACTAAAAGACAACAAAATCTTAGCCACTATCCAGACTGTCTACGTGTGTAAAGCGTAGAGAGTAGTGCTTGTTGACAGGATTACTCAGCAAATAAATTTAAGGCATAACTGGAGGAACAGCAGATGAAGTCTATTTTTCCCTATGATGTAATATTAAGGCCTCTGCCAAGAGAGATTGCTTTCAAGTGGGAAGTCTTCTTGCCCCTAATTAACCAAGCGTCCCAAAATTAAGGAGTAAGCTAAAGACTGAAAGCTTTTAAACAGAGAACTACCGACTTTGAAACAATCAAGCTCCACAGTGCGATTCAAAACCATCCAATGTACTCACTCCTTAGACGCTGAAATCAATGAGGCCAAATCTGCCAGGGCCATGATGTGGATAAAATGTTAAATACAGAAGATATCTGAATATGATGTGTTACTTTGTTTATACATACGTCTAAATTTTAACGACAGAACCCTTTAAAAAATGAGGAACAAAAAGGTTATGTTCACGCAAAACTCTTTTTTGCGCTTAGTCTGTAAAAAGGTATCAGAACAATTTAAAACAAATTGGTTCATTCTTTAACACTAGATTCACTTGATTAAACTGCACAGGTCCTACGGTGTCAATGTTAGAACTGCAGAAACACAACTCCCTCCTCTGATGTCAAAGGGAAGCAAGCTCACTCTCCAGAGCCTCTGCAAGGACCAGGGAGAGACACTCCAAGTTCCTCTCACAGCTCCGTCCCACCAAAGGGGGGGGGTGGGTCACTGCCCAGGTGCACTGAGACGAGGGGATGCTCCTATAAGGCCATTTAAGTGGAAACGACGAAGTAATCTAAATAAAATAAGCCACGGAGTTTCTTTTAAGTGGTGAAATAGGGGACAAAGGGGTTTTGACATCAATTAAATAAGACTTTAGAACAGTCAAACAAAAGAAAATTGATTTCTCAAAGTCCAATAAGAAAACAATTAGCTCATCTCTCATTTTCAGAAAGATGAATGATGGAAATTCTCTCAACAGGCTTAATTTTGAACCTTAGGAATGAAGGAAGGAGTCTCCTCTCATTCTCTTTCTACATTTTATGTTCTTCAGTTGCTATTCTAAATTCTTTGAATAGCGAAATCAGCCATGAGCTGTGATGGTCTGCCTGCATTGAGATACATCTCTACAACTAAAAGTTATGCATACAGCACAGAACTATAAACAAAAAAGGTGAAGCAAACTTTATTTATTTTCAGGTAAAAACATGAACCTGATGAATTATTGCAGATTTGAGAAATCAGCACAGAAAACAACTGGACAGAGCATTGCCTACAGGTGCTTTGATGTGTGTCGAGACAAAGGCTGAGCTGTTTGTCCCGCGTGAGCACTGGGAGGAGGGGGAGAGAAGAGCGGAACAGCGAGAGAAGACACCGAACAAAAACTTAAAACTAGAAAAAGGGGGGAAAACTTTTTCTTTACTCCAACAGGGAATGAAAACTGCTAACTTTGCTTAAAACCGTATACATCAATTCAAAATGCTCTGGCCACAGAATAATAAATACTGGCCAGCCCAAGCTGCAGACTTTTTAACCTACACAAAAGAAACGAATGAGCTCTCCTTGCCTCCATCACAGAGGCGGTGGTTGCCAGAATCACCACGTAAACAGTCCTAGTGCGTCCCTGGTACAAGGCCAGTGATACCCTACAACTATAGTAAAGCTAAGCTATAAGAAAAGCCTACCTAGTTACAAAGGCTGAATTACATTGACAACGTATTTCAATTCCATGAATTCTAAATTGTATCTTAATTTGAGAGAGAACAGGGAACAACGAAAGCCCACGGCTGACGAAGATGTACCAACTGTGGGTTCTGTATACAAAAAACCTGTGTGAGCGGCACAGACAGTACACGGATCAGGGCGGGGAAACTCAGGGGAAGTGAAAAGCACACAGAGCTCACCTACTAAACTGTATTTGTCAAATACATGGGAGCTTTAATTTCTGTACTTATGTACAAGAGTTGTCTTTGGAGGAAACAAAACTGCAGACTTAGCTAGATGGATACACACAGCCCAGAATTAAACTGCACAGCGACATTTATTGTTTCAGCCTGGAAAAACATCCCTTTTTTTAAATTTCACACAGCAAAGCAAGTTAAAAACTTCACTCGTCAAATAAATGATAATTTAAACAAGAACTTGCTAAAGAAACCTCATCACAACAACGTTTTAGGGCCTGATCACTTTAAGTCCATGGGGCCATTAATGAATAGGAACCAAGTGTCTCTTTTATAATCTGCAAGCCGTTTTCCTACAACAAGAAGGCGTAACATGTTTCCTTGACTCAGGTGATACATTTAGAAAAGAAATCATGATTTTTCTCTTTTGCTGTAACAGGCAGACACTGCGTTTCTCATTGTGATCAGGAAAGATGGAACGACTGCTGCCCTTCCCTCGCTGCCATCAACAGCTTTTCTCGCATTATCTCGATGCTCGAATAGTCCGGCAACTTAAGGTAGTTCACACAGGTCATTACGGAGGGCAGGAAGTCATCTGGGTTCTCTGTTGATTCGAAGGTCTTCCGGACAATTGTCAAAGGTGGATTCAAGCTCCGGAAGCCTGATGAAGAGGGAAGAAAGGAGGACAGAGGAACTTGGCACGTTTACGGGATGCCCGCCAGCTAGCTCAGGGAAACCCGCCTCTCATCCATAAGGAGAATGGGTCTGGAAGCACAAGTATACGTACCCTTTCTTATCTGCCCCCATCAGAAACACACTACACTGCTCTAATAAACAGCATTACCATACACAGAGGTACTCTTTCCTGCTGGGCAATGAACTCTACCCATTCAAGATACATCGAGGGTACGGAACCTGGTACGTGCTTTATTTACAATCAAAAGTCACTGTATAACATGGAGGCAAACCGTTCTTTATGCTTCCCTTATGCTTTTAAAAGAGCGCCAATTCAACTCATATTAGGATTCATTTCTGAAAAAAACAGACTTTAGAATGCCTTTTCATCTAAGCCATCTAAGGGTTTATAATGTACGTATGTCTGAGAATTTGAATTTTATGTAGAGAAGCAGCATTACATGTACATTAGCAGTCCTACTTCAGCGTGTTTAAGTCAATCCCTATGAATTGTCCTGCCAGTGATATCCCTTAACACACTGCAGAACAAACTGAAAACTTAAGAAACATTATGATATTGAAATAACTAAGAGGCACTCAAGGTCAAATAAAGAATATCCTGCTGTTGGCACTGAAGTTTTGCGTGCGTTCTCCACCCCCCCCTCACACACACACACACATACACTCACTCATAGCTACAATAAATCAACCGCTGTACCCACCTCCAACAGGCAATCTTGGGCTACCTGTCACAAACTGGAGAAATAACCTCTGCTGCTCATTATCAAAACTACTGAGAATCTCAAACAAGAACTTCACAGCCCGACTATAACAGAAATAAATATACCATAGTTACTTCAGCGTATTAAAATACAGTTTTGACTCTCATAATTAGCTAGAGACTATCAAATGTAAATATGACTACATATGAATTCACATTGTAATGCACTCAAATATGTTTCTGTTGTTACAGTTGGAATTCAAGTGGAATGATTACTGTTGTAATAAATAAGACCTGTCTGGGATTGTACAGATATTTCCACTTTACTATACGTAAAAATGGGTAATGGGGTCACAGTGGGATTCCCCACCTTTCCTCCTCCCGCCCATTTTCACAGAAATACTTGGGGCAAAAAAAACAAAAAACCTTTCGGTCCTAAAGTTGCAGTCTTGAGAGAAATGAAGCCAAAATATTAGAAAGCCTCCTTTAATAAGTAAACAAATTTTAAAATGTATATATATGTGTGTGTATCTGAAAACTGGCAGAACCCAGGACTTACCTGTCATGAGTATAACCGTGATCTGGCCTGCAGCATTCCATCAGTGTCTTTGCGTCCCAAGTGTCTGCTTTACTGCCACACAGGAGCTGATCCAGCTGTGTGTTTAAACACGGGCAACAGATTACTAAGGACACAGCTGTGTAACTGACTGAAAATGCACACATGTTCTGTTCTGTGGCGTGCCAATATAAAGGTCTACAGAAGCCCCAAAACTTCAGCTTGGTACTCTTTACAATGTGCTTTTACAATGTGCTCTTCTAGTATATTTACAGATTCAAGCTCTTCTTCAGCTGACATGAACAGGTGCGCTGCCCATTTGCATGAACTAGGTTCTAGGGAGCCTTTAATCTAAGACAGAACATACCTGAGACCAACCCTTAATTGAAGTTCTCCTAATTCTTCTCGTTTCTTAAGAGGCTTTAACTCAATATGTACTTCTAACCAGGGAGATTTTATAAATCCTGGCTTTTAGAAACACGAGGGCACACCATAACGGAAACCAAGAGACAGAACAGCGAGCTGGAGACAGAAGTGGGAGAGGAGAGCTGAACTGAGACACAGCAAATGGGTAGGTTTTCCCACTTTGCGAAGAAAGGCAATTCTGTGCCACATGGTCGTCTAGGACCACGCTAGTCATTACAGAACAGATATCAGAAAGCAAAAAATGCCTGTGTGTCCTTGGAAAATCTAACATGAGTTTCCAATTAAACCATCTCTCACCTGGTAGACTGCCCATTTGCAGGATGACTCGTACACTCTGAGAAAATCCATTTGGAGCATGTGAAATTTGGTATCTACTACATGTCACTCACTGTCAGGTACTTTATGTATCTTGTTCAGTAAGAGAGAGGTTATCTCAATCTTATGAATGAGCCAGTCAGCTCAGATAGGACAAGCTGGGTAAGGTCACACTGCTAAGTAGTGGGGACCAGGATCCAATTCCAAAAGGAACACTTGCTGTTTTCAATTCCAGGTGACACTTAGTGCCTAAAAGTGCCAGGTACACCACATGTTTTAATAAGCAGCAAATCAAAGTGGACATAAAAATAATAATTGAGATGAAAACGCTAAGTCATTTAAAGATTTCCAGATTCAGTCGGTAATAAAGGTGTAGTCTAAAGCTAGTACTCAAAAAAAGAAACAAAAAGGTTTCCAACCTGGGGAAACCAAACACCTTCCAGACCCTTTCTATGACACCTCACTATCAGTAAGTAGTTTTCTGAGATTCTTGTTGCACTTTAAGTAAAGATGGCTGGAAAAAAATGATGCACATAAACTCATTAACTCCATTCTCACAAGTGTTCTCTGGATTTGGCAACTAGGTAATTTGCAACATTTCCTTAAAACTTCAAGGACTAACCTCACTCATGAAACAATCAACATCTCAGCGAATCCAGAAAGTTTAGCTTAAAAACAACAACAAGTAACCTCCCCAGTGTCACTTTCATTACTATGGACCCATGGCTCTCCCCGCCAGCCACAGGTGTACAGAAACCCAAGTCCCACTCTCCACCAAGCAGCGTCCAGGGTCAGCTGACAAGAATGCTATGCCTGGGACTTCCCTGGTGGGCGCAGTGGTTAAGAATCCACCTGCCAATGCAGGGGGCACGGGTTCGAACCCTGGTCCGGGAAGATCCCACATGCCTCGGAGCAACTAAGCCCATGCGCCACAACTACTGAAGCCTGCGCTCCACAACAAGAGAAGCCACTGCAATGAGAAGCCCGCACACCTCAATGAAGAGTAGCCCCCACTCGCCGCAACTAGAGAAAACCCGTGCACAGCAACGAAGATCCAACAGAGCCAAAAAAAAAAAAAAAAACAGAAACAAAAAGAAAAACAATGCTATGCTTACTCAATCACACATGGATCCCATGTTCTTTTATACTATATTTAATACTTATTTATATATGTTATACATTATACTTAATACATTATATTTAATATTCTTCCTCACTCAGGAAATGATCTTATCTTTCCCAAACATCCACCCCGCCACCGCACCCAACCATCTACCTTTCTGTTTGCAACAATGGGGTCTTTGACTAAATAGCACAGAGAGACCCCACTAAGATAATTATAGGTACAGAACTAGAGACGACCATTTCTTTTACACACAAGCTACTCACTTCTTCCGGATAGAAGTACTGAAGGTGACTGAGTGGGAAGACTGATTCAAATCCATCTCTGAATGAATCAAACTGCCTGGAAACGCCTTCATTTAGTGCCCAGAATATAACCAGCTGCAAAAAGAAAACTCTTTCAAAATCTGCGACAAGATTTCAAATTTCTTTCCTATTTAATATTTGGCAAACTACAGTGAAACATCCTTCCTGATCACTTAAAAAAAAAAAATGAAGTCTTTAAAATATCTCCCAGTAAATTACGTAAATAAAAGACAAGTCAGGTCAACTTCTAATTCAGGGTCTGGCCAATAAGAAAATGTAAAAAATGCCGTGTGTGTTATAAATTAATATATTTAGTGTGTTTTACAATTCATTTACCAGTACATAAAATCCCTATGAGTTATACTTTACCTACCAGATGAGAAGCAGATGAAACTTCCGAAGAGGATAAAATGTTATTGAGAATTAAAGATAATGTTTCAAGAGTCAAAATTACCAACTGTTAAGTGTTTAAAATTTTTAATGTGCAATTTTTAGTTCTAAATCCTGTTAAGTTCTTAGAGCCCAATCCTTCTGCAGTATGTGCCTCCACTTAGAAAAAGGTAAACTCTGGAATGCAGTCACATGAAACTGAAGGGTCACAGAAAGCATCTGTTATTGGTCCAACATCTCCTAGTCATCAATGACTTTGGCTAACCCTTTGGATTCAGAAATAGGGGACCTACTCAGATAAAAATGAAAACAATAGCGTTTTGTTGACAGAAAAACACAAGCATTATTACAAATATTTTCAGAGAACCTAGTTTGGAGTTAACTCATCATTTACTAGTAAGCTGAAAGATTAACTTTCTCAAAGTAGGTAGTATGAGAACACAGCCCTACTGACTGTTAAAGGAATTACTTAGGAATCACAGAACTGTTAGGCATACTAAATAATAGAGGTCCTCTGCTATCTTCTTCTCTCAAACTGATGAAGACACTGGAGCTGAAATTTTTCAGAGGTTCTATCTAAAATCCCACAGTAAGTTAGTGGAAAAGTCAGGTCTAGGAGGTATAGGTGGTATTTTGTCTGGAACCCAATGCTCTTTTCATTCAATGTCAGGAATAAACCAAAAGAAACTTTTCCAAAAGTAGTGATAATAAAGACTTACATAGGTCGTAATCTAAAACATAACTTGTATTCAGTACAAAATTGTTTTCCTTAACAAATATGGTCAAGGATCATGAAAGGCCTCACCAAACCCATAAATGTGTGCGTGCGCACACGCACGCGTGGACAGCGTTAAAGGTTATTAGGTCAAGTTAGGTGGCTTGATAGAAAGGTAGAAATGCAGTTTAGTGACAACACAAGGGATGGCTGCTTTTCACTGATTTCTTCAAACTAAGAAAATGAGATGTTATTAGATAGTATTCAAGCTTGAAGAGAGAGAGTTCAAGGTTATAGAAGGTACTGCAAGATATATGACATGTTCTCTCAAGAGCAAACAGAAGCGAAGGTCAGGAGAAGTGGACTTCGTGCAGTGATCCCGGGCGTCAAAGGTCTCACACCAGGGTGTGCAGCAGCTACCGGACACGCACCTGTGCTTCACTCGACCCTCCCTTCCCTCCCCCACCTCAAAGCAGGCCCCCCGGGCCCAGCCCCGCATGGCCACAGCTGGCCTTCGCCCCAGGGGGCGCTGCAAGTACATACTCTTAGATACTCCTCCAAATTGTGGATGGTGACCGGTATATCCTTTCCTCCTTTCTTCAGTTCGATGTTGGGAAACCCTGGCAGAGTGAAATCCAATCCTAGATCTTCAACTGAGCAGCCATTCATAGTCAGGGTTTCTAATGCATACTGTAGACTCTCTTTGGTCTAAAAAAAAGGGGGCGGGGGGTCAAGCCCAGTAATTCAGTCAGTTATGTTTGTGTTTATGAAATAAAAGATATGCTAATAAATTTTATGGGTTCCCTTAGCTCTTATTTCTTTTTCTTTTTTGTCATAATCTACACAAAAATAAGTCACTGAGATCACAAAGGAAATAATCTTAAACACTTCAAAATCCAATTATTTTTATAGGAGAAAACAAGATAGCCTGAGCGCTCCTCCGCAATGAGGTGTCCACTACTCAGTCTGACCATATTCAGTCAGATTTCACAGAAAGGCCATAATCATTTGCCCAGTGGTCAGTTTAAGAGGGCAGGCTCTACAGAGCCAGACAAACTTTTTATAAATTCTAGGCTGATCTTAATGAACCCAACACATGTATACAGCAAATACTGAGTCATACAGCGCAGTTAGGAAATTGTAAACACAAATAATGCACTACCTAGTATAAATAAATTTTTTCTCTGCAAGCTCAAGTGTAAAGAATACCCAGAGATTCTTCATTCGATTACTGTAGGCCAGCATTAACAAATTTGTATTCATACAGCAACAGTGTGATGAAAAAAGGCTCTAGCAAACCCCTAAGAAAAGTCAACTCCTACTCTGAAGACAAATGTTAAAAAGTTTGTATTATTCACTTTTTAAAATGTTTAAGATCATGAAAGGCTTATATAAAATATAATTTCTGAATCAAAGACCAACATACAAAACTGCAAATTCTATCTGAAAATGAAGGTATCCAGTATAGGAGAAAGAAGGTAAATGACTTTCCAAATTAAAGATGCCTCCGAGTATGAAATTCCTAATGGCTAAACAGTCAAAGTGCAGAAAATCATTTAAACAAAAAAAAGGCTACGAAGTTCTGGTTAACAGTCATTTTTTAAAGAGGAAAGTGAAAGCTGCGTAGGATTACAGATAATTCAAGACACAGAGGAGGGTTAGGGTTAAGGTAAAATACATTGTTGAGAATTTTTACTCCTCTGCAAAAATACATGTTTAGGTCTCTCTCAGTTTCGGGAACATCACTGGATGACACACAAAGACAGACTTTTCATTTTACATTTGAAATATTCTTCAGCAAAAGGACTTAAACTCTCCATTTTAACGTTCTCTGACTAGAAAGCTCTCCAAAATGCTATCATTGATAGGAATCTAGAATATACAATATGTCCTTGAGATGTTTAAAAGGAATTAGCTGTCCGTTTCTCTAGACCTTACACGTTAAATTGAAAGCCAAGTTTTAGCCCATTTTCCATGTGCCTTTCAAGAATTTAAACTGCCCAGTGGAAACTCAGCCAGGACAACTTGCTCCATCTGAATGCTTTATAAATAATGAGGTGAGGTGTGCGAGAATACCACCAGTCCTCATGTTCCAGTTGCCAGTTTCTGGAGCGTGGTTTCTGTGCTATGGATTTTATATTTTTAAATTGGTAACATCAGGAATAATAAAGATTAGAAGAACAAATCTCCAAAGATTTGAGAAAGAGAACTGTGGCAGCATACTGCACTGGAGACAAGGGTAAGTAAGAGAGCTTGCAAAAGCTGTCAGAGTGTGGGCTCCAGAGCAGACAGCCTGGGTTTCAGTTCTAGCTCTCCGGTGTGCTAGGTATGTGACCGTGGTCAGGTTACTCAACCATCTGCCTTGGGTTTCTCATGTGTAAAGTAGGGGTAACGGGAATATCTAAATCTCACAGCAGATTAAATGAATGAGTACACGTAAGGCTCGTGGAAGAGCACCACGAGCTGTCCTGTATCTGGAGCGGGCGGGGCTGTCTGTGGTGGTGTTCGCGTTATTTTCCTAAGAGATGATCTTAAATAAGATGACAGTAGTTTAAAATTTAAACCTTGGTGAGCATAAACCTTACTAAAAATCCCAAGACAACAGGTTTTATATGGAAAAGAGGGACCTGGCTTCTTTAAACACCAATTTCTCTTAATAAACATTTACCCCAAAATTACCATTAATAATTACCGATTAATATGGGAGATAAAATTAATTTTCTTACAAATCACCTCCTTCCCCGACAAAAAGTATTCTAAAAAACCCATCTACTATAAGCTCCTCTCTATCTTAAGAGATGTGACACTTCTTCTAGCTACAGAATCTTAAATCTCTATTCTTATTTTACGTAATTTACAAAATGGGAGTTGATTTAACACTGGTCCATGTTACCTGCCCCCATACAAGACGTCTGACTCTATGCCACTTTTTAAAAATACAACTTTGTCTTCTTCCAATGTCAGACACAGAACCACTGTTATTCTCAAATGATTTAATTTTGTTAATGTATAGAGAATATACATTAATGATTTAAAGATCAAGATTACCCATGAGATCTAACAAGAGAAACCTTAACAGATGTTACCAAGAAACAGTGATACCTACCATGACCTTCAAAAATATCTTCCTGAGATCTCTCTAGAAACGGATGAACTGTTCCTAAATTAAGCCATCTTTCTGGAAAATCAATCTGTCCTGCGAATAGCCTTATTGATTCAAATGCTTACTAAAAGAACTCAGTATGATAGAGTATCTGCCCAGATACATAATGTCCATCTAAAATATAATAAACAAGAGCCCTATGGTTTTAGTTAGGGGTGTATTTTATTTGCTGGTCAAGCTGTCTGTTCAACACCTGCTGTTATTACAGGTCATCTTACCAACTGTAAAATCATATGCTTCAGTTATTATAATAAAAATTTAAACTCTTCCAATATAAAATAATAACTGGACCAAATACAAATCATTAACAAAGAACTCATCTTTCTACAAAAAGAAACTGATCCACTTGACTGTCTCATTTTCTAAGCCTACCTGGGATTTATCTTGTTCAAGTCTTTTCTTCTGTCTGACAATGTCTTCTAGGTGATACACTGATCTGGCTACAACTGGGTCAATGTCAAACAAATCGTGTGACGTCAGCGAAGTTTCTTGCCGTAGCATCCATTTATAAAAAGGTAAGCCCAGGGGAAGGTCCACCTGAAAGAGAAGGTGCAAATATCACAACAGTCACACCAAGCTTCTAGCACTGCCTCAATTCTTTAAGTGACACTTCAAGAGGTCATTTTAAAAGGTCAAGTAATCCCCAGGGGAAAAAAACATATTTAAAGAACTGTTTCTCTCAGTACATGAAACTGTCCCCATTTAAGCTCAATTTGGGGCTGATATTGTTAAAAAAAAAAAAAAAATTCGAATACTGAAGATTCCTATTGAAACACTGGCCCTAAAATAGAAGTTTTCAATAATGGACATACATTCTCCATAAGGATCTCAACACCAAGAGGTGTTTAGAGGAGTCTTACTCAATTTTGGACCAAGTGAACTTAATTCCACTTCAGTCTGTATTATTGCATATTTGGAAGGAAGAATGTAGAAGACCAATTAGTTATAACTAAAATGAAAAAATGGAACTTCAAAAATAAATGATTAACAGCACATCCTTTCAACAACAATGAAATTGTAAGCCTGACATCAGATGAAAACGTCTTACACATATTGACAAAGTATCTCAGAAAACATGAGAAGAAAAAAATGAAGAAAAGTCCAGAAACACTCAAACCTCTGTGAATACTAGTTTTGGGGGTTATTTTCACTCCTGCACGTTAATGGAAATTTATTGCAGTTTAGCCACATGCTCATACTTTTCCTACTTAATTAAAAATCTAACTCAAACACTTAAAAATATATATAATTAAAACCACCCTTAATGTTGCCTGATTCTCTGAACCCTTGCTACTAAAGGAATGGTCCACAGACTGGCACTTGGGTATCACCTGAATGCTGGTAAGAAAATGTGGAAACCTGGGCCTGACCCATGAACTGCTGAATCAAAACTGGCTTTTTAAATAAATTCTCCAAGCAATTCATATGCACATTAAGGTTTGTGAAGCAGTGTTTTAAAATATAGCATTAAATGCAGGGGATTAAGGTACCGTCATAGAACACAGGTACAAAAAAATTGTAGAAAAAAAGGTAATTCTATACTTACCAATCTGAAATCCATGATAGCCTTGGCCATTAATTTTCCTAAGAAGCGAAACTTCATCTTAACTTTTGCGATATGAGCTGGCTTAGCTGTCCTACCAAAGGGAAGCGCAAACAGGCCTTGGAGGTTTTGAATATACTTGGTCCCTTCTTGGCTTCCTATAAAATGAGTAAATCACCAAACTTTAGATGCTATTTCCCAAAACAAGACAGACCCGGTAATTAAGAACATTTAAGAAATTCAGTATTCTCAAAATCAGATAGCAGATCAAAGAATGAAGTCCTCTAGAGCTGGAAGGGCCTCCCTTATTTGATAAATGAGAAAACAAAGGTGAAAAGAAATTAGGTCAGAGAGCCAGGCCCTCTACTATGAGCTAAATATGCATAATGAACTGTAAGGGCCCTTTACCTGAACTGAATAACAAATTGGCTTAGTCACAGATTAGTATTACCTTTGGGATTGCTAAGAGTTACTTCTTCCCCTCTCCAGAGACCCAAGTCAGCTCTCTGTAGTTCCTGAGATACAAGTGCATAAAACTCCAGTGTAGGCCCCAGACCTGTGCCAACCTACAGAGGAACAGAAGTAGGACAAGTCAAAGTTTAGAATCTGTGCTGCCCTTTTTTTAACCTGCCAACCTTTTGGCAATGGGTACTAATCGCAACTGTTCACCAGAACGTATTAGAGATTATTTCCCAAACTGTCCTGTCTTCCCTCAGTCTAGGTCGCCTGGAATGAGAACCAGCAACCCTTTACTATTTCCTGCTTCCTGTGGCCCCAACATTTTAATTGTATGGTTCAAACTAATATACTAATACGAGTACCCTTGCAGCTATATACCGTGCCCTCAGGGAACAGATGGCACTGTCTGGAATGGATTTCTTTCCCATTCTCTCTCTGGTGAACTGTTCCCCTGGAACCAACTCAAATGTCTACTCCTTAGGAGAAGCCTCTTTATCTGCCCAAGCAGTTACTTTGCTTCTTTTTCAGAACTTACATTTTGGCTACTTAAGTACTCACCACATTAGACTACCATGATTTCATTACATGCTTGCATACCTCACTGAGGGGTAACTTTAATTCACCTTGTATCCATTGTAATGCCTGGGCAAGCATCAGCCATTTAATAGAGGTTTGTTGAATAAAACACAAAAAAAGGAACGTCTGGACCCACACCAGCACCCACAGTTATTCCTTCATGTTCTACCAAGGTCCTATCAGCTCACACCATAAATTAGATATGCAACTAAAGATAAGTTAATTCCATAGTTTATAAGCCTAATCTAACCACAGTCCTGTCAGGAAGGTTATATTTCACTTACTGATTACTTGTAAATAATGAGCATTATTTCAGCATTAACACAGTTTCTTTCCCCACTAGCTTAAAGGATCTGATGTAGTCCACAAAACGGTTAACTGTAACTTTCCAAACAGTGACCTGCTTGGGTCTGGCAAAGCCTTCTAGACCCAGCTCCACGTCTCTGTCAGTACTCCACGGCTGTAACTGGCATCAATATTCACCTCCTGCTGCAACCAAAGCCTTGGAGCCACCCGTGATGCTTCCCTTTCTGGCGCCTTAACAACCCATCATTAAACACTGTAAGCCCCACCTTCAGAATATGTTCCAAACTGGTCACCACAGCATCTCTTATCTGGCCCAGTGCTAGAGGCTCCTAAGTGGTCTCTGCAATGGCGCTCTCCACACCTCATGTCCTACTCTCACAGCGTGAGAGTGGATCCTCATACAACCTAAGTTCACATCACTCCTCCACAGCCTCCAAAGGCTCCCCATCTCGTTCAAGCAAAAGCTCAAATTCTTAGCTTGGCCTGGGTGTCCTATGTGATCCCTTGACTCCTATTTCTAGCCACTGTCATCCTCCAACAGGCAGGGAATTCTGCCTCAGGGCTTTTGCTTCACTTTTCTTTTGCTAAGAGATAGCCTTTCCCCTAGATAGTAATGACTACTGCTCAAATGTCACCTCATTCCACCCTATCCTCTCCCCATCATGCTCTATCTTCTTATTTTGCTTTAGTTCTTCAGCACACATCCTACATACATGTACATGAATGAATGAGTGTGTGTGTGTGTGTGTGTGTGTGTATCGGCCTCCCCAAACTAAAAGCTCCATGACAGTAAGGACTTTGTGTATTTTGTTCTCCACTCACACGTGAGCCTAGGAGGAAGGCAGGGAAAGAAGAAAAGAAAAAAACTGCAGTAACACCTGGTATCCACCAGATGGTGCTTTAAAGCCAGTTAATCCTAGCTCCTTTTAGCATAATTATCCCAGGTTAAACAGAAATCATAGATTAGATCAGCCTATTTCCTTCATCCAAATACTGTTACTGCTAACAGCAAAACAGACTTAACTTAAAATATTAAGTGACATGGGCAAAACTGTATACACTTTCATCCCAGGAAGCCTCTGTGAGGGTGGAAGGACCAGGTCACACCTGCTCTGGCGAGTCACCCCTGCACTGGGCTGGCCAGCAACCCCGTGGATAGACCTGACCTTTCCAGGGATCTTTATCCTACCCAGCCACTCCCCTAAAAAAAAAGATAGGTACTGTGGTTTTGCTTCATTTGTTTTGAAAGGAATGAGGAGATACAAAATTTGCCAGCCCAAAATGTCTCTTTGGCATGCGGATTATTTACAGCTGAAAACAATCAAGGCCCAAAAGACTCAGGAAGAAACTGACTTACTCTCTAACTGCCTAAAAGAATTTTGATAAAGGGCCGGTTCCCACAACAGAGCTATCACCAGAGGTATCTGCAAAGAATATGGGCTAGGGATGGTGGCAGGAAAACAGGGCCTAGGGATCAGAGTCCACTCTGGGTCCCATTGTCTCTGCCTGGCCTGGCAAATATTTGTTTACCAAACATTTGCTCCATGTGGAATGCCTTCCTCCCGCCTTTGAAGTCCCAAACCACTACCCCCAACATCCTCTTTTGTCTTTGGCTGAAGACAGTATTTAAGAGGAGGGTTTTGGCCATTTTGGTGAGTTACTCAGACTTCCTGTGACCAGCCAGAAGAACCCAGAAGGGTAGAGGAAAATGTCTTCCAAAAGGAAGGAAAAGCATAAAGCTCTAGAAACAAACACAGAAAAACAAAAAAGTTTGACAACTTGTGTTATTTGAAACTTTCAAAGTCTTTCTCTTTCAAAACCTAATGCTTATATACTAGCATATACCACGTAACAGATAATGTTGTGTTTTACACATTTTAGCATTTAATCACTTAAACAACATAATGAGGTAGGCACAGTCACTGTGCCCTTTGTTGGGTTATTACTGGGGAGTTTACATAACTAGCCCGACTTCATACAGCTAGTAAGTGGCAGCACCAGGCTCCCCAGTCCATGCTCCTAACCTTTCATCGTCCTGGCGGCATATACCACGTGACAGGTAATGGGCTTAAGTGGTTTGCTGAGCCCAGAGACTGGCTTAGTTCCCCCCTGGCTTACCAGTCATCTCTATTCAAGAATGGAGCCCATTCTGTTCTGACATTTTGGTCAGGATTCTTCTAGAGCTAGTTAGAAAGGCTTCCTAACAGACACCAGCTGACTTGTACGGTTGAATCTGGCTGACAACCCGAGGCCCTAAGCATATATAAAGCCAGCACTCCAACCCTTCTTCTTCAATGAAGTCGGCTCACAGAATTTTTTCCAGAGTCACCAGGAAAGATCCATCAGTGGAAATCATAAAATTGTGATTTCTGTATCAGCATTTCAATCCTGACCCGTGGAACAATCAGCGTGATGCTATTCTGAACTTAAGTTTAGGTTTCATGTAAGACGCAATCTGAACAGGGGCATGAAGGATGAGAGAGTAAAGACGTTCATTCCTGACGAGAGAAAAATATGTTGGAGTAAAACGAAGTAGAAAAAGCGTGTTTAAATAACCAAGCAGAACAAGCTGGCTACAGCAAAGGTCTTACAGTTTCATGAGTAAGAAATTTGGACATGTAAACATATAAGAGCTGTATCCTCTGAGCAACAGGCATGACCGGGGTAGATTCAAAAGACCCAAATTTCTTATCCCAGCTTCCATTCCATCTGCCTCCCGTCCCCTCCAGAGCTACTCCCTTCTGCTATTCACCACCAAGCCTGATCCTCTGTTCAAGCTACACCCTTTGATTCCTTAACTCTCCCCTCTCTTTCCTGAAACAGGCTCCTCATCTGAAAGGCTCATTCACTTGGTACCTATACCACTCACTTTCCACACCCATTCGCACTCTGTCCTGCGTCCCCCGCAACTCTGCTGTGATCCTGGGAATGCAGGAACTCTGCCATAACCTGGATCCTGGCACTCTGTATACTTAGTACGTAACTACTTACAATTTTAAATTTGATGATTAAATACTGTCAACTATTCAAAAGTCTTAATGAGGAGGAGAAAATGCTTAAGAAAACGAGTGAAAAATCAAAGTCAGGATTAAAATCACTTGGTTAACTACAGACAGCTTTGTAGATTAAACTGCTACATACACATAGTGCTCACCAAGAGCCCGGCACGGTTCTAACTCTTCACCACATGAACTGTCACAACTCTGAGGCTGTACTACAACCCACACTTCACAGATAAGAAAACTGGGAGGCAGAGTTGTTGGCTTTTATAAATAAATAATAAGTAAATGGAGTATTTGGAAATGTCATGTGCATAAGTTTCAGATGTCCAAAAACTTAAGTTTTGTCTTAAAAAAAAAAAAAAATTAAGATACTTCACTGCTGGTCCAATGCGTTAAGACTCTGTGCTCCCAATGCAGGGGGCCCACGTTCGATGACTGCTCAGGGAACTAGATCCTGTATGCATGCTGCAGCTAAGAGTCTGCATGCCACAACTAAAGGAGCTTGCATGCTGCAACTAAGAATTCCTCATGCCGCAACTAAAAAAAGATCCCACGTGCTGCAACTAAGACTCGGCGCAGCCAAAATAAATAAATAAAATAAATAATAAATAAATAAAATAAATATTTTTAAAAAATTAAGGGAAAGAGGAAGGAAAGTATCCCCAGGAGACTCAATACTTCAGAGTCAATTATAGAAAATCATTATTTTGAGTCTTTTGGCATACTGGCCTGGCTATTTAAAAACATCTCAAAAGAAACAAAAGAAAGATTAGAAAGAAAGTAAAGCTGTCTTTTTTCATGGGTGACATGACTGTCTACAACATGGAACAGCAAATTACAGCTCAGGCCCTACTGCCTGTTTTGTACAGTCTGTAGGCTAAGAATGGGCTTTACAATATTAAACGGTTGAAAAAATCCTTGAATAGTATCTCACAATGTGTGAAAATTATATGGCTTCAAATTTCAGTGACTATCAATAAAGTTTTATTGGAAAACAGCCCTGCTCATTCATGTTTGTATTGTGTACGGCCACTTTCACGCTACAAAGCCAGAAGTGAGGAGCTGTGATGAAGACCACATGGTCCACAAAGCCTGAAACATTTGTTATCTTGCTCTTCACAGAAAAGTTGCCCAAGCCCCGTATCTACAACAATCCTAAATGATCTATTTAAAATTTTTAGAACCAATAATTAAGTTATCAAGGTCACAGAAAACAAGGTCAACAAAGAAAACTTTACTTCTACAAACTAACAGCAACTGGAAATTGAAAAGAAATAATATTATTTTCAAAACCATCAAAAAACATGAACTATTTGGGAGGAACTTAATAAAACATGTACACGAGAGACCTCTAGACTGCAGTTATGAAGCATACTGAGAGAAGTTAAAGACCTAAATCAGAGAAAGGCTACGCTGTATTCACGCACTGGAAGATTCAATACCATAAAACATCAACTCTCTCCGAAACTGATCATGATTCAACACAAACCTAATCAACATCCCGTGAGAGACTTCCCTGGTGGCGCAGTGGTTAAGAATCTGCCTGCCAGTGCAGGGGACACAGGTTTGATCCCTGGTCCGGGAAGACCCCACATGCCGTGGAGCAACTAACCCAGTGCACCACAACTACTGAGCCTGTGTGCCACACCTACTGAAGCCTGCACGCCTTAGAGCCTGTGCTCGGCAACAAGAGACGCTACCGCAATGAGAAGGCCGCGCACCGCAGTGAAGAGTAGCCCCCGCTCACCGCAACTGGAGAGAGCCCGCGCGCTGCAACAAAGACCCAATGCAGCTAAAAAAAAAAAAAAAAAAAAAAAAACTCAAAACAGATTGTAGGCCTAAATATAAGAGTTAAAACTATACAACTTCTAAAAAAACAAATAAGAAAAAATGTTTGAGACCACGGTTTAATGGACATTTTCTTGGGATACAAAAAGCATAAACCAGAAAGGAAAAAAATTGATAAACTGGATTTCATCAAAATTAACAACTTCTGCTCTTTCAAAGATATTTCATCAGGAAATGAAAAGATAAACAACAGGCTGAAAGAAAATATTTGCAAAACACTTATCTCATAAAGGACTTGTATGCAGAATGTATAAAGAACTCCTAAAAGCTCTGATAAAACAAAACCCAATGAAAAAGTGGGCAGAATTCCTGGACACTTCCTCCAAAGAAGATAAGAAATGAAAAGACAGTATCATTAATCATCAGTGAAATGCAAATTAAAACTACAGTAAATCCACTAGAATAACTAAAATTTAAAAGACTGGCAATAACCAAGTTTTGGTAAGCATGTGAAGCAACTGAAATTCACATACTGCATTACTGGTGGGAAGGAAAAATGGGGCAGTTACTCTGGAAAACGGTTTGGTGTTTCATATAAAGTCAAAACATACCTTACCAAAAGACTGAGCCATTCAACCCTGAAGTATTTTATATTTTACCCAAGAGAAATGAAAACATATGTCTACACGACGACTTGTACACAAATGTTCACAGCAGCATTACTCATAAGAGCTAAGAAAGTGGAAACACCTCAAATGTGCATCAACTGATGGTTAGGTAAACATATGATGGTATGTCCACGTAATGGACTATTACTATTATTCAGCAATAAAAGGAAACAAACTGATACACGCAACAACATGAATTAGCATTACACTAAGTGAAAGCAGAGTAACACAAATGGCTACGTACTATATGACTCCATTTATTATGATACTGTACAAAGACAAAACTGGAGGGACAGAATACAGATCAATGGTTGCCAGGGACTGGGGATGAAGGCTGGGGACTGACTGCAAAACGGTCTAAGACAACTTTCTGTGGTGATGGGATTTTTTCTTTATCTTGATGTGGTTGTGGTTATAGACTGTATACATTTGTCAACACTTAGAAATGTGTATCTTAAAAGTGTGCATTTATGATATATGAGTTGTATCTCAATAAACCTGACTTTTTTGAAAACGCAGTTCAAACATTTTGAAAGTTAAGTTTAAAACCTTTCACTTTATCAACCTAAAGATTACACAAACACTTGCTCTTATGCCAGGAAAAAAAAAACCCTTTTATTATGCAATTTAACCTCGAAAAATGGAGAACTCAGAACAAATCATTCAAGAGAAAACAGAGTACATCTCAAGTTTTGAGATAAATTTCCCAATCGTCTTTTAGAATTTCACAGGACCAAGAAACTCTAGGGACATTTTATCAAGAGCACAAGTCAACACAGCCTCATAAGCTCACCTCATTTTCATACTGAATTTCTAACATGGCCCGTGAGCTGCCGAGATCCTGCATCACAGACTCTGCTTGTTTCAGCAGCTCCTCTCTGTTCACAGTACGCTGCAAAGAAAAGTACAAATGTGAGGAAACTTTGATAAACAGGTGGCATTTCTCTCAGTGCAAAAAAAAAAAAAAAAAAAAAAATCAATTCAATCGTTAAAAATTATTTCTTAAAAAAGAAGCACACCTCAGAAGAGGTTTTAAGACATAGCTGCAGTGCTATAAACATTGACAGCATCCTGCTGTATGTGAAGAAAAGCTAGATGTGAGTGTAGTTATTAGCTTGAGCCCATGGCAAATTCAGAAAATTCAAGTTGTTGAAGAAAGGATCTCTGTAACCTTCTCAAACATCAATGCAATTCAGGGCTGTGGCTCCATGAAATCTCGCTGTGTACATTTATAGTTTGGTGATGGAGAAATAGGTGTGGAAGTGACAGGTGAGCTGGAAACATACTGGCTCTGACCAGCAGAGATCCTACAAGCACCACTGCAAATATCTATTAATGAGATGCAGGGGGATGAGAAAGGTCTTGATAGATTTCCAAATTCTACCTACACCTTGTTTATGGAATCCTAACGATACAAATAAAGACAGGATTTAAGAACAATGTTTTTTTGTTTTGCTTCTCATTCCTCCCACTCCCCCTTTTTAAGCCATTACTAATGGCTTCTGTGAGACTTTTGGAGATAGAAGTTTGTAGGAAGACAGACTTGAATAAGAATCCTCAGCAAGAAAAAGGTAGATGAACAAAGAAGTCCTAAGGAAAAGGCAGTGCAGTGTGAGAAGTGCAGAACTAGTCTCAGATGTAAATGGCCCAGGGCTGTGTGGTTTAGAGTTATCACCATGGGGCCAGGATTAGAAGCACAAGAAGATGCAGTCAGCAATACAAGGCTGACGGGTACAGAGACATGAACTATATCAAGGATTTTGTTTGTCTCTTCTAATTGGAGTGATTTGCTAAGGGAATGATGTGGATATGATTAATTCTACCTACTGCATAAAGGGATCAATTATAAAAGGGAGATATGGTTAGAGTTCTTAATTTAGAAAGGAAAGGAAGGAGGTCTCAGTGAAAGAAGAGAAGATTCTTCCTTGGCACAAGAGTTATGGAGACTAAAAGAGAAAAACAACTGTAGAAATCATTACAGAAACTGGGGTGGGAGGGAAGGACTCTTACTGGAGAGTAAAGAAGAATCCCAAGAGATCCCAAGAGACTGATAGGAAAATATGGCTAACACATATGATAAGAAGGTAAGCAAAGAGATAACTGTGACTAAGATAAACCTCTAAACCAATAGGGATAATTAGATGCATCACATTTCTAGTTTTCCCATTATCAGTATGACTTATCTTTAAATATTTTCGGGAGAAACTTACTTTTTTTCTATCCAATCTAGGTGCAACTCTGCTATCTTGAGAATCAGACTGGTTGATTTCTGGGTTGGTATCAAGTAATCTTTGCATTGCTCGGTCCCGATCAAATGCAGTTACATAAAAAAGCATTTGCCGGGTATCAAAAGGGAAGAAAAACGGGCTGTAAAAAGATGGGATATAAATTTATTAACTGAATTAGAATCAGAAACCATTAAAAAACCCTGGCTTAGAAACAACTTTTGATATGATACAGATTAATAATTATAATGTAACCAATAAAAATGGTCTACTCAACTAATTTTGAAGAATTTTCATAATTCTTGCATGAAATTTCTAAGTGATCAAGTAATAATGCATTAAGTAGCCATTCACTATGAAATCTGAAATTCAACCATTAAAATCAAGTCCATCCAAGATCATCTTTAATCTCCCAATGACCTTCAGTAAGCATAACATGACTAGTGAAGGCGAAATTTTAAAATATAATCACCACCTCACCAGGTTGCCAACCCATCCCATTCCACATACACACAAGTAATGGTTTCACTAAGTTCATGATTTTCCTCTGGGCTTTGGCATTTGTTAAGTCACTCAAAACTGCCAAAAGGCAGCTGCTTATCTTTAAAGAATGAACTCTGCAGTACCAAGGCCCCGCTGCCTCTTGACATATGATTTTGGCAGTTCTTGACACAGAACTGTCCAGAGCACTTCCTATGATTATCTAAGCATCCAGCATCTATTCTGTACAATATGAGTAGCCACGCAAGGATGTGGTAGTGTGACTAAAAATCTCCCATTTAAAAATTTTCATTTTAATTCATCTAAACGTAAATACAGCTACATGTGGCTGGTGGCTCCCGTATCCATCAGTGCAGTCCTATAGTCTCCAAGAATGTAGGTCTGGACCCAAACAGGCTCAGAGAGAGAATCAACCGAACTCCACCTCTGGTGTCCAATTTTATGATGGAAGAGGGCTGAATCTCCTCACTAAAAATCCTTGTGTACTTCCCTATTTCATATATAAAGATACTATCAAGTAGACCTAGTGCCGGCCCCAGCTCATCTAGCCTGTTTGTATGCTGAAGCTACACAATTAAGCTATGATCAAAAATCACATTAACTAAACACATTTAAATAAGGTTTGCTAAAGACTATGTTTTTGTAACAAGATATATAAAGATCAACACAATAACACCCCCAAGCCCACCACTACAGAAGTGATTGTCTTACCAGGTTTTTCCTAGTTCAGTAAGCCATGTTGGGATGTTTCCCGTCATGATTACTAAAGGATCCTGAAGCTGCCTATTTGCTTTTGCTGTCAGCTTACTGTTAATAAATTCACTAGTTGGGATAATTTCCTTGCACACTGCATTCTGTAAAATGTTAAAAAAAAAAGTCTATTATGTAGTAAAACATTAGGATTATAGTCACCATCGTTTCCTTTATTCCCAAATACGTATGCAGAGTGCCAAGATTTCCCCTGCTGGTTTCCAACATACAGCTTCTTGTTGGTATGTCCCAACCTGAATGACAGCTTTCACAACGTACAGCTGAGACAGCCCAACCCCACGCACCACTGACACAGCGAACGCTTCATGCAGGGCCAGCTCCTTCACTCTTCCCTCCACTAGCGAAGTATCAAAGACAAGCATTCAACTTTCACTTGAATTTAATACACATCTTAAATAAATGAACTTTTAGCTAAAGGTACCTAAAGTTTTTTAACTAATAATGTTCAATTTTTATGTGGTGGCTTAATTTTATAAATTATAGCTAGAGAATATTTACAAGTCTGCCAAGAGAGCTAGGTCTGCCTAGAGAACTAAATTAAATGTATGTATATTTCATTATATTGCTCTTAAGACTACGGAGGTGGCAGTTTAATTCTTAAAAACAATAAAATAAAGCATAAATACTATTTTGCCTAGATGAATTTTTACCTAATGATGACACATTTGGGAGAATGCAGAATTTCTCTTGTTGATACAGCTTTTACAGTAAAATAGATTCACGTTTTTGGAGATTAAAACCAGCAAGTTGAACGTTAATATTTCTAAAGTGGTATGACTGTTCAGAGTATTCTATAGTATTTTGGGGAAATATCAGTTGCAAAGACTAAGAAACTACTTAATATCCATCTTGCCCTGTAAAAACCACTTGCTCAAGTTATCGTATAAATACTACCACTGAAATATAAATGCAAAAGATAATTTGACCATATTTTTAAACTCAAAATAGGTGACTTTACTGTACGAAGTATACAGAGCTGCTTTACGCTTTGTTCTTACTAACATACTGGAAGAGTATCTTTCATACATGCTGGGCTAGGATCTGTGCTGTTCAGCTGAATCATTGTTTCTATTTCTAGTACAACAGGAAACTGATCAAGCACTAGACAGACACTAAGAAAAAAACACGTAATGGACAACACATCAGGGAAAAGTTCAAAAGTAGACAACATTACTCACATCATACAAGTAATACCAGTATCGACTGATGGCATGTAAAACTCTTAAAAGAAGAATCACATCTAATGAAGGGTCTTCAAAAGTTATATTTTCAGGTGGTGTGGGTATGAGGTAAACTTCTAAAGGATTTGATACTGACGGGCACACTCCATCTAGAGGGCAAAAGATCAAAGTTTGATCAAAGTGTTGATCAAAGTTAGAAAGGCAGAGTCAATGAAGCCAGCATCATCTCAACATGCCTAAAAACAGTAACCAAGAGTGGTTAAGATTTAACGCTCGCTAGTAGAGTACTGACAGCTTGAACAATTTTTTTTCCCTTTTTATCTTACAGATAAATCATCCAGGCTTAGGAAAATTTCACTTTCTCTCCCATACTCATACATTGTAAAGGAGAAAAACTGACTCATTTGCATTTCTCCTTTATATCAGAAAAATAACTGACAATAAAATGGCCAGAGAGGAGTAAAGAAAAGGTGTTTAAATTAAGTTCACTGTTACAGAAATTTCCTGGATTTTTTTATATCCGGTTTAAAATGGCCATGTAAGATAAACAAATACTCCCAAGTTATAAATCTGATAAAAATAAGATTTGGTTATTTAATCCAAGACTTAGGACATGATAGACTGTGACAGTTTCCAAGTAGGATCTGCAATTCCTTTGTTCTTAGATCTCATAAAGTAATAGCATTAAGAAAAAAGAGAGAGATTGAAACTGTTGCCATTTACTCCTACCAAGCAAAGAAATTAAAAATCACAACACTATCTCTGCATAAAAGGGAAACTGTTTTAATACCAAAAACATAGAAAACAAATATCTCAAACACCCTTTTATATAGAAAAAACTGAGTTTTATGAAAAACAAAGTTGCTACAATGCCCTTACTTCTGTGGACCAGGGAAAATTTCATCAACAACACCAGTGTTTGGAAATCCCTGATAGGAGCTGGTCCCCAAGGACTGCAGCCTATTGGTAAGGCACTGTAACCATCTTATAAAAAAGAAAGGGAGAGGGGCTTCCCTGGTGGCGCAGTGGTTGAGAGTCCGCCTGCCGATGCAGGGGACACGGGTTCGTGCCCCGGTCTGGGAAGATCCCACATGCCGCAGAGCGGCTGGGCCCGTAAGCCATGGCTACTGAGCCTGTGCGTCCGGAGCCTGTGCTCCGTGGCGGGAGAGGCCACAGCAGTGAGAGGCCCGCGTATCGCAAAAAAAAAAAAAAAAAAAAAAAAAGAAAGAAAGAAAGGGAGGAAATGAGCAAAGTTACACTGGAAGGAAATACTACAAAGGAAGGTAAGTCAATTGGGAGGTTTTACTACTTTCTGTAGTCATTTTATAACCTAGCAAAACTTTTTATTCCTTCTATAATTGGTGGATCACACTATTATAATGAATAACAATAAAAATTAAGGGTCACCCTGCCAATGTTCAGCCTCTTCTTTAGTGCATATGTTCTACTAATGAAATTTGTTTTTGTTTTCATAAAAACATGAATTCTTCATGGAAAGAATGGTAAGTTTTCCCACAAATTCTTTCAAGATAACTTTTCACTTTCTAGACATTAAAGTCAAGGGTTCAATTAAAAGCAGCCAAGCATTTGTAGTAATTCATATTTTTATAAATTATATTAAAAGATTTTACTACTAGATATAAATCACTCTGTCAAAACCTTCAAGACAGGAAGACTACTGCCCCATGGCGATCTCCTTGCCCCTCTAGACATCACTTACCGTTCCACAACTCATCGTGCTTTTTTGCATTTCTAGGGGAAGTTTTTGTTGGAGCTGTTTGGGCTCTTCCTCTTTTGCCACCAACACAATCTTTATTGCTTTCTTCATCCTCTCTCACGGGTTTGTACCTAAAGTAATAAGAGTATGTAAACCCAAAGTAGATTTTAAAATGGCAAATTATTCTGCAAGGCCAAAGTGCAAGCCACAGACACCACAGAGTTACCAGAACAACTCTCTGAGGGCTATCCTCTCTCTCCCTAGTTGTGGATTTGGAGAACTGCCAATGGGACTGCTTCCTAGAAAAGATCACCTAGGAGGGGCCACCTGAGAAACTCCAGGGGGTGGCTCTGAGAAGAATCACCCTGTTTAAATAAGTAGTAGACATTCACCAACAATGCAGGAAGCTGCATCCAAATGCGTCTAAGGGCTCAGAGATGCCCAACTTCATACTACCTAAAGGAACATCACCTTATGGAGACATTTTTGCCTTATTTAAAGACTTGAAATGAAGCTACTAGAAAAGTAGGTGCAAATTATGATTATTTATTGCCCAAACACATTTTCAAGTAGACTTAATGAGGAAGCTAAATATACACACACATGCACACACACAAGATGGAACATTTGAAGTGGCTTTTAATAATAAAACATAGAATTTAGAGTCCCCTCTCTCCTCATGCAAGCCAGCCAGTAACAGGAATTCCAAAACACACAAACAGTATCAATGTTGATGAAGAAGCAAACAAAATCATTTTCAGACTTGCCATATTGTATGAGTTTTCGTCCAAATACCAGCTCTTCCTAGAGGGTTGCTCTCATCATCCGTGGACTCCCGTTCATCTTCGGCCTGTACGCTGAACTGCCGTACTGCCTGGTACACAGTCATGTTATACGGTAGCAAATGTTCTCCGATGTAAAACTGTAGCCTGTGTCGTACATTTCCTGAATTTAAGAATTGAGCAGCCTAAATAAAGCAAAACAAAATCCATTGAAGCTACAGGCCCTGAACTTTACACATTGAAACTTGGTAAGAACAGCAGCTTACCAGAGACTCGTCTATTTCCTCATCAGAGCCATCATCGTCACTGTCTTCATCGTCTTCTCTTACTCTTCCATACCCTAAGGACCCAGGAAGTCTGTTAAACTCCTAGCAATTTCACGTGGCAAAGAAAAGCCTATATATACTGGTTAAACTAACATGTTCCTAGAAAAACATGTATATTACATTTTGATCTACAAAGCAGAAAGATTAAGAAAGCTGTCAGATACAAAATGTGATTTCTATTACATTCCACCAGGATAAAGTAACTCATCACCCAATCAACCAAGGAAGCAGTCAATCCCTACAAAATTTAACATTTCTACATACTACACATAAAATAAGTGAGGAGTACAGAAGTTCCTGATGCTAGGTTTTGACAGAAGCGGCAATAGGAAAATAATTTATATATCCCTTAATATTAATTTCATCCCAAATGTACACATAAACACACAATATACATGTACAGAAAGTACCTCTAACTACAAGGTATCTCTCGATTGCTTGCACCAAAGCCAGAGGGTCAATCTTGACAGGTCCACCCTTCCACTGCTTCACATTTGCACAGTCTGGATGTCTTTGTAACTGGCATTTTAACTGATGTGTGTTGAAAAATTTTAAAGCCTGTGATCCTCTGTTGAGAGAAAAGCTCAAGATAATTTATGAAAAAAAAGTTATTCTATTATTTTCAAAACCAACATACACTAACTAAAATAAAAGCAAGATAATACAAACTCTGCATTTTTCTTCAGACACAAAGTAGCACTTACCAGTTATGTATATAGTAAAGCTAGCAATTCCAAGTTATTGGAAAAAACTTTTCATGATAAAATAAGAAATAAAAGAGGATGTGTACGCATGCATATGAAAACGTTAAATCAACCTTCCATCTCTGTCCCACCATGAATCTATGTAAGTGGAAATACCTCACGATCGAGATTTAATTATTTCCGCAGGATAAAAATTCCTGAACCATTCGGGCATGCTCACTTCTGCAATATTTTGCCATTGCCTACGAAATCCTATTTATTTAAAGACAAACAACAAACCCTCTCATTTTTGTTTTCAAAGATTTCAGCTACAAAATTACTTTAAAAACTAACCTTTAAATTTTACTTTGCTATAGTCTTTTGAGTGAAGCGGTTTAACAGCTATACCAGTCTAGACCTGGTAATGATATTCAACTGCTCATTGCTGAAAAGGTCTGGCAAGAGTAAGACGAGTTTAAAATGCAGTTATCTACAAGGTTCCATAACGCATGCAAACAGGGGTATGGGAAAGAATATTCCATTATATTGATATATACATATGTAAACATACATATTTTACACAAATTTAGATAAAAATGTAAAACACTATGGTTTTCTCAAATATATTTGAAAGTGTCCCTTTATTTCATAAAAATCTTCCAGGACAGTTTAATAATCAAAATTAAATACCACTCTCTACATTAAATTTCAAAGCAGAAAAAAACCTAGTCCACACTGATCACTTCATTATTCAATAATGCATACTGTTTCAATTCAGTCAGAATTTTAAATGTCTTTAAAACACACCAGAGTGTGTTTTTTAAACCCAAACTACTTTTTAAAATTTTCTAGGCTGCTAGTCATAATATTCCAGGAAGCATGTAACATTCTGTAAGAACACAACAATGAACTTAATGAATTCTTTCTGCAGCACTTCATGAGTCCTGTAAAACTACTTTATTATGGAAAAAAAATAAAACTTATTTGTTAAAGCCCATCAAAATGCAAAGTTTTTGCAAAACCACTTATAATGAAATCACATTATTGCACAGAAAGTAAACATTTTATTATCCATACCTACAAAGTTCTTGGAGAAAAGCTTTATACATTAAAGTACATCAATTTAAGGAAAACTAAGCCTATTACAACTTTCCAGCACAAGTTGGTTTTATATTTTCAAAACATCATGTTTAAGATACGGGGTACGACTTTAGGGATAAAAATTATTTGATTCACACTTTAGAATATTTAATTTCTGCGGTCTTTAGAGATGAATGTTCTTTGAGCAGACCAAGATGTCACTAGACCTCTTGCCACCTGACCTCAACGAAATAAAGCATAAAGTCCAATGGCAAGGGCACACCTAGGCAATGATCCTTACCTGCCTCCTGTGCCATTTCCACTCGGAAAGTCATGCACTTTGACTGGAAACTGTTCCATCTGGCTGAGGCAGTTGTTCATCTTGTGAACTAATGCCAACAAAGGTGCATTACCCACTGGTTCTACTCTTCCAGTGGGCTCCTCTCCAGGAAGCTGAAGTTATAAATAAACCAACAGGTTAAGCAAGGCCTCGTGAAAATGGAATGCTCAACAAGAAAATTTAATAGGCAGTTTTACAAGATCTAATCTACTGAACCTTTTTTGATGGATTTGGTTAGAACAGTGTTTCCAAAGAAATTATTTCAATAAAGACATTCTTTCTGTATAGGCCCACAATCCCATATTCACAATTCCCAAGTCCAAAAGGCTTGAAAACACAACTCATTTAGTGGCAAAACCTGACTCAGACAGACACAAGGCCATTTGCAGTCTTTATTCAACCTTTATTTAGTAGGAATAGTCCTATGTTTTGCTGCAAAAATATTTAATGTGTACAAAGTACTGTTCAGAATCCACTGGGGATATATCAGGTAATACATGCTGTATATACTGTATGGTAGAACTCGTGAAACCCATCCAGCCCCAAGGAGTTTCAGTAAGAGATTACAGACCTGCACATAATTTTAAGCATGGTATAAAACTATATCCAATATTGCTACACATCTAATGATTCTCAAATAAACATCAATTCTGCTTTAGGTAGCTGCACAAGTTAAAATAATATAAGCAATGCCTGCAAACACTGAAAAGACATGGTGACACAGTTTCACACAGGAGACCTGTCCTTAGCCCTATTACACAGCTGAACCAGAGAATCTTCCCTAGGGATGCCTTCTCTTAAGCCATTATGAACAAGCAGAGTGATGTTGAGTCAACAGTGTTCAGGTTACTCTCTTGCTCTCACTCACTGAGGGTGAAGGAACTGAAGCTGCTCTGTGGCTTCTGGTCTCATAATCCACATTATAAATGGTGATGAAGTACTCTTCAATGAAATTGTTAGTTCTGTGTTTCACATACAAAATAGAAATGTATATGTGTCTACTCTATCTTATGTCTATAGCTACACTATGTCTACTGTATTTCCCTTAAAAAAATATACTGCAAACTGCAATGTTTAAAAACAGATATTGAGAATAAAATACATTCACAAGTGAGAGACTACTATTAATGGCTTGCCTGACAGAAAAACAAAGACTCAAGATTCATCAACCACAGAAAAGGCCCTTGCTTCAAGTCACCATTTCGTTGTTTTATTATTTACCTGATGTATAAAAGACTAATGAATCCAACTGTGTATAATAAGCAAGCTAAACACTTTACCTCAATATCTTGACCAAAAACTACTCGAAATTACTACTGGGATGAGAATATACACACTAGTGAACAATGACGCTTAAAGTAAGACACACAGGCATTATTATTAGATAACTTACTGGAGAAGAAAAAAATACATGAAGGAATCTCTTTAATCTGATCTCTCTGCTCACAGCATCCTTTTCGCTTTTAGATGTCAAATAAAGCAACAGCTGCTTCACAAATCCACTATGTTGGATTTCAAATGATGAAACATCTGACTCTGAGACTATGCTACGGATTTCTACAAGGCACTCAGCTCCACCATCCACCTGAAAGAGTTGAAAACAATATTTACTGATTTCGACAGCCTTTACTAAATGCACAATTCACATTTCCCCAAAAGCAATTGGATACTTTCTTAACACCTTTAAAAAAGAAGGCAGGGGCAGGTGGTGCATTCTTGGTAGAGCTTTGAAAAATAACATCTTACCTACACACACATTCACAAAATGTTACTACTTCATGACAAAAAACCAGTATCCATACTAACATTAAAAAAAAAACAAAAACCTTCATATTCAACCAATGGAATTGTGTTAAAAAATTAAAAAAAGACAAAGGATGAGAATACGAATGGAGGAATGGAGCTACAATACCAAAATGAAAAGAGATATAACACGAGTTCAAGGTATGGCTTTACATTAGTACATTTAAAGTATGAATGAAACAGACAATTTCTTGGAAAACATGTACTACGCATATTGCTCAAAGTATATCAAAAATGCAAACAGAGTCAAATGAAACACAAAAGGCTTAGTTATTACATCTCTATCCTCTCTGAGTACTCTCAGGCCACAGGTAAAGAGGGGTTAAGGAAGGTCTTCTCAATGCTAACACCTGTAGCTGAAGAGGACTGAGAGAAGAGATGTGCTTGAGGGACATTTCTAAAGTCTCTTCATTTGTCAAGAAATAAGGGAGGTGAAGGAAAGAAAGTCAAAGACCAGATGTCTAGCCCATCTAATGATAAATGATGCACGAAAAGTCAAGGGACAAGTTAAAGAAATGTCAGCAGCAAAGGTACATGTCTGGCTAAAAAGCTAGAGAGTCACCAAGGAAAAGAAGAGCAGGACGGAAGAGACGCCGGAAGAGACAGAAGTGAACCAGCCAGATGCACCAGTCACGGTACCTGGAGGTTGAGTTGTTCGGTTGCAGCACAAAGTCTCTGAAGGACATTCAATGCAGGGTTGCTTCCATCCATGTTCTCAGAACTGAAATAACGCTCTACAAATTTATGCGCCTGCTCTTTAATCCAACCTTTGATTTTTTCTCTGCCAGAAGGAAAAAGATATTAAAGTCTCAGTGTACACAGAAAGGATTTCAATTATAACTTCTGGTCAAAGGCAAATAGTTGCTACATTTAAAATCCTTTTTGGCCTATGCTTATAGACTAGTAAATTCAGATTCCACATTAACCCAATTAAGTTTCAGTTTGAAGGTGGGCTAAGATATACCTAGAGAAATGCACAGGTACTTAAAATACATTTCAGGTCATTACATGAAGACCAAAGAAACAGTTCGAACTTTTAGGGACTCTACAACCTAAGAGTTTCCTGAGTGTTCACCTGAAAGCAATTTTACATGACTGTTCTCTAAGGTACAGACATATCTGCACTGTCCTTTATTTATGTTCCCTGGAGAGCTGAAGTAAAGAACTATAGACAAGAAATATCCACCTATTAGGTGCACAATTAGCTATGACAGCTGAGACCTCGCTGTTTAAATTACAAATTCTCATGGCTTCAGAAATCTATTTGCTTAATTATTTTTATTAACTGAAGTTCAGAACCACCAACCAACCAAAGCAATCAACCAAACAAAAAGAACTTCCTTGTTTTCCCAATGGAATTTGATTTTTGTAAATGTCTTATTTGCAGAAGAAGCACTCCTTGCTGGTATGTTACATCCAGAGCCAAAAGACAAAACAATCCATAGGATTTTAAAGAAATAATTTTTTAATGCCATAAACTGGTGTGAAATCGTTTAGCTGACAGAATTCTAAGTTTCTAAAAAAGGGCTCTGCTCTAAGAGCCTTACCTTCCATTGTAAAGGGTAGAGGAGGGTTATCATAAAAGAGCGCGCACGTATGTGTACAAAAAATACGTCCGCTTTCTTTTTCTAGAACAGAACTACGGGACAGGTTCAATGGGAAACCTATCTGTTTGGCTCTGAACATACACAACTCCCAAGTAGACATGTTGAAAGGAATTTTAAAATGTGAGACTGGAATGCAGGACAAAGCCAGACACAGGGTTCAAGAATTGAGAATCAGCTCCATCCTTGAGCTATGCCACCACCTCTGAGCGTAAATTAAAGATCTGTGTCCATGTTTCATCTCCATATAATAAATATGCTGACCGAAAAATGGGAAGTTTTTCTGACCTGAGAATAGAGGTGACACAGAACCCCCCACACCCTACCTGTTATTGGATATGGTGTCCTTTGAGGCGGCCCTGGCAAGACCACTAACTCCCGCAGCTCGGGCCGGTTCAATGTTGTTGCTGTGAGACTGTGCGCTTAACCTTCCCCACGTTTTTGGATTCAAGCTTGCCAGGAAAGAAGATTTAGGTGACTGAGTAGTGGTGGGGCTTTTAGCTATGAAAAGAGAATGATGGTTAAATCATTTCAGTGCAATCGATGAAAACCAACTGAATTTTAAGATTCCCACTCTTAATAAATTAGCTAAAAGAACTAACAACACTGGGAATTCAGGAAACTCAGGCATGCTTCAAAGCTATCAGCAATTTTAATGAAGTATGTATCCTTAACTGCTACCACCTTTCCCTTTACTGCCTCATAGTTTCATCACAAAAATTACCTTGATTGTCTACTTTGTCATCATCTCTTGGAGGTGAATACTTTGGCCTTCTTGATCCTCGTTTTGGCAGTCGTTTTCTCTTTAGAACATCACTTAATCGACTGTCACATGGGAAAACATGGGGTAAGTTTAGCGCTACCATGATTTAGTATCATCACTCATTTAAAAGCAAGCTAAAATGGCAGAATATTGTTATAACACGGTATTTTTCATTTAGTGATTATTTAATGCCAACTCTGCACCAATGTTCTAGAAGTGTACAAGACACAGAAAATGATTAGTTCAGAAAATAGCTAGCTATTTGACTATACTGAACTACTAAAAAGAAAACCAGGGACTTCCCTGGTGGCGCAGTGGTTAAGAATCCACCTGCCAATGCAGGGGACACAGGTTTGAGCCCTAGTCCAGGAAGATCCCACATGCCGTGGAGCAACTAAGCCCGTGAGCCACAACTACTGAAGCCCGCGTGCCTAGAGCCCGAGCTCTGCAACAAGAGAAGCCGCCGCAATGAGAAGCCCACGTGCCACACTGAAGAGTAGCCCCCGCTCGCCACAACTAGAGAAAGCCGGTGCACAGCAACGAAGACCCAATGCTACCAAATATAAATAAAGAAATAAAGAAATTAATTAATTTTAAAAAAGAAAACCAAATAGAGTATCTCATTAATCCTGTGTTAAACTCCATTATTAAATGCAGTACATACATAAAGCATAGGAAACAAATATGCAATGCATAAACTAGAAAAAGAATATGTTAAATTTGGGTACCTTACTTCTTCCCTAACCTAAATGACAATAAGTAAAATATACATAGCATTGAGTGTTAATATTATCAAAATACCTTCCAATACTACCCAAAGGAATTTCATGGTGTGTAATGGCAGTAACATCCTAAATGAATGCATTTATAAGTACTTTTTTAAAAACTTCAAAATTATCTGTAAACAAATGTGGCAAGTGATAGTCTGAGCAGCCTATTTTGAATTAGAATATATGAAAACAGAACGTATGTAGCCTTTGCGTACTATTTTCACTATCTTTAACAACACTAGAAATAGTTTAAAATATCATCCTTCAAATAACAAAGCTACATCAAGTGGGGAAGAAGAAAAAAAGTTCTGGTTCAGTTGGTCTATGACCCAAGTAAGAAAAAGTTTGAAAAAAATATTTAAAGTCTCCCAACATCTGACATGTCTCCTGAAAACACTTAATAGTGTGGTCAATATACCTGACGATCAGGACAAGTGAACTTTCAAGGAATAAACTTAAACAATTCCACCTTTACGAATTTACATAAACTTTTCATTTAAAACCATATTAGAAGAGAAAGGAATCACTTAAAACTCTGAAAGTATTTTAAGAAAAAGGTCCTTTCCTCTTTCTTTAAGAGTATCAACTGTCAGAACCTATAATCATATAGGTTCTTTGCATTGCATATTTGTTTCATATATTTTACGTATGTAGCTCAGAAATACGGCATTTGTCTGAGCTGCATCATATTTTACCAAGTGCCTGTGCTATAATATAGTATTGGGCTGGCCAAAAAAGTTAGATTGGATTTTTCCGTAACATCTGCAATGACTTAAGGTTACTGCAGCAGCTGCGGGAGGGAGCAGGGCTCGGGAGGAAGTAGAGAGGCAGGCAAGGCTGGGAGGGAAAATGGCAAGATAATCCAACTTGAAAACAGTGAAGGTGGAGGGTCTCTGGCATTCTCAAACTCCTTGGACTGTGCCCACTACATGGTACCACTTAAACCCAGCAGCTTCCTAAAATTAACAGTGGCTGTGCCAGAAGTCACAGAACTGCCAAAATTCATACTTAAACCAGGCTGGACAACTGCCACCAAGGGGCACCAAAAGCAGCTGGGGTTCGGAGTGGGCTAGCTTCACAGGACAATGCTACCTTGCAGCTTATAAGATTAAATGTTTGGACCCCACTTATTAAGTATAATGTTTTACCAAGATCTACTTTTCAGCTTACATCAAAGAAACAAAAACACTTTTAGAGTGTGACTTGTTTCAACACAACAAAATGAAAACCAACACGAGGGTTTGGTAATGTTCTCAGCAGCACCGTACAACAAAGGAATTTAAAAAGAGGTGGAAGCAGAGAACTTAGAACTCTCATTTGCCTTTATTAACAGCAAAAGTTCCCATATGCCAATTAAAGATAAATGGGAAATCGGGATCTTTTTTCCTTCACAGTCTAAAAATTCCGATTTTTAATATTTTTCACTATACTAAATATCTGGATTTCTTAAAGCTGGTATGTATGCTGCAATACAGTAAATAATCGCAAGATTATGGAATCAGAAATGAGGGCTCAAATCCCGCATCTGTAAAATAAGTACACGACACTATACCAGTCACTTAGCTTCTCTGAGCCTTAGTTCCCTTGTATGGAAACACCATGTATCTCTTGTGGTTCCTAAACATGGCTCAATACAACAGGTTTCCTCCCATTCCCATTAAATATCTAACACAATATACATGGAAAAATAGAAAACGTACACTCTCCATAATATTTTACCATTTACTTCCCTGTGTGAGTCTCAGGTACCAGGGCAGAGTTAAAGGCAAAGAGCACAAAAATCACTGCAAAACTCTGACTTACCCTTGAGGGCTCAGATCTAAAGAATCATCTCTGCTGTGCTGCAAGCTGGGGGATCCCAAGTCAGCTGAGGCGTTAGTGGCAGCCGTGGCTGTTCCACTGCTGACAGACGTCGTGGACCCCAAGGATCCTGACCCATTCGTACATGCCTTTGGTGGACTTGTCAACAATGATTCCGATTCTGCTAAGTGTTTTACTTGATGCATTACACCTTTACAGAGCAGAGATTAAAGAGAGTATGTGTTAATCAGGACCACCTCCCCACCATTATAAGATCCCTAAATGCTAACACGGATTCACAAGGAATGAATAAAAAGTACCCGGCAAATAGGAAAATAACTTTAGGTGCCAGAGTCTTCAACTTGACTCCAAAGAATAGTAGGCAAATTCAAAATTAAAGAAAAGATATTTATACAGGCTGTCTGCCAATACTCAAAACCCGAATGTAGGATACGTAATGGGGTCACATGTAAATTCCTACTGGAAATAAAATACCCTTTATAAAAACAATAAGCAATTACAGAAATGCAGTGCACCTGTGGCTTGATAGCCAGAAGGAAGAAAAAGACCTACAGTCATTAACTTCAAATACTACAATGAGATAAGATCACAGTAACACTACTGCCAAAAAAAGAGAACACCAGCTATTGAAGGATGGTGATTTTCACATCCTTGGAGGTGTATGAGGAGAAATGAACAGTAACTTATAAGGCAGGGTTTATATTTGGGGTTGGACTGTGGCAAGATGTACATGAGAGGAGGGGGGAATATAAAGGTGTGTGTCTGAATATTGGTGTGTAAAACTATATGCAAATCTGTGTGTCTGAATGTATGTGAGTGCATGTTCACACAATCACATTTTTCTGGGGAAGAGTTCAGAGCTTTCCATCAGATTCTTTTATTAAAAAAAAAAGTCTGAATGAATTCAAACTTCAGGCGTTCGTTCCATGAGTATTATTTGCAGCAATCATATGCCAGACCGTGTGCTAGGGACTACGGATATGGCCGTGGCTAAGAGAAATGGATTCAGGGCACTTATTAACTAATAAGAAAGATACATCTCGTTCCATGAGTATTATTTGCAGCAATCATATGCCAGACCGTGTGCTAGGGATTAAGGATATGGCCGTGGCTAAGAGAAATGGATTCAGGGCACTTATTAACTAATAAGAAAGATACATCTAACAAGAAACTACAAATAAAGAGTGAACTGCTTATGAAAAAGAAAATACAGTGCTGTTGGTGCATACAATCGGGAGATGTAACAATCTAGAAGGCAGGCTAGATCTTTAGGAGTAAGTGACATTTAAGTGGAACCTGAAAGAACAGTGAGACAAGCCAGATGCAAAGGGGTAGAACCAATCTACATTCCTCCATAAACTTCATAATGTACATGCTATATAAATATTTGGGGGCGGGGAATTCAACCTGACGGCATAGTTGATTCTACCAAAGTTTTTTAAAAAAATCATTGAGAAAAAAGACCGATTCTGATATGCTTCCAAATCAGAAAGCAACTAAAAGCAAACAACAACAAAAACAGAAAACCAAAAACAAAATACAGAATGCAAAATACAAGATAATCTAAGGCTAAAAATAAGAATACATACCAGGCATTTATGTGAGCATAGAAAATCTGATTTGTTAACCATAGTTACTATCTCTGGGAAATGGAGAGAGTTTGCCTTCTATTTCACATAAATGTGTAGTGCTGGATTTTTTTTGAAAACTCACTGCTATTTGAACAGAGCTAATAAGAAACAGTGAAAACTTCTTCCCATCTGATTCAATACTATTACACTAGCATGTCTGTTACATTCTCAAGATGTAAAGAGAGATGAATCCAGCATAAGAAAAGGTGATCAAAAGAATGGAAAACAGATCATATGCATAAAGAACCAGGACTGTTTCTAAGACTGAAGATGAAGTATTACGTGAGGGGAAAACACCATCATTTTCTGCATCCTCACAAGACCAACGTAACCTAATAGACCAAAAAGACCCATAAAGAGATTTCTGTTGACGAGAAGGAACTTTTGTTATCTTGGCAGGTTTAAAAAGAATAAAACACCCAAATGAGTGATACAGTTTCATCTTTGAGGTCTTCAAGAAAAGAATGGAAAAGTATCATGTCCCCTAGGCTGATTTTGACATTGAAATTCCTCAAATTAGAGGACTACACCAATTGCATTCTGAAGATTATTCCAAGCCTTGAAATATTCCATTATCTACATAGTGAAGTAAAAAAATAATCCCTTTTACAGCTGTTCTGATCTACTAACAGGATTCTTTGGGAAAGTGACCTCTGACTTTTTCAAAAAATTTTTATGGGCAACTATATGTTATCAGCATAAAAAGAAAAGTCAATGATTGCTTCTGGGCCATAAACACTCAAATCATTGAAACTTACTAAGCGTTCATCAACAGACAGTGAATCTCACACAATCTATAACAAAAGATTTATAAAAGATGCTCTATATGTATTAAAGCTGTAAGCATGCAAATATCTTACATAAAAATAACAGTTTAACTTTTTTCTATAGAGTATAACTATACTTCTACTGAAATAATGTTTAGACTAAAAGATTAACCATGAATTAACTATCATGAACGGCATTACCTTCTCTTCTGAAATAAACACTAAAAATATCAGGTAGCTTCTGCATTAAGATCTCTGCCATCTGAAGTGCTCCAACTACTATCTTCAGGTCTTGGCTTGATAGCATGGAAGCAATATGACTAAAAAAGAAAGCATTTGTATATAAAACATTTGTCTGAATTTGATAATTACTGCTGGCCATCCTACTTTAAATTTGACAGCAAAATATTTTAAGTGTCAAACCAATCCACCAGAACAAGAATTTTTCTTAAATGCTCAACTTCTGCATTTAATTTATTCTTTATCAAAGGTGTTTGTGAATACAGAAAGACAACGAAGGGCCCAAAATATTCCAAATAAACTGTTTTGTGCATATTTTTTCTGTACTATTTCTTTAAAGATTTCTGAAGTTACTTGCAGAGACTTGGATTTCTAAAGCGTTTTCACCACTTTCATGAACACACCTTGAAACAGCATGATTTTTCAGGACATCCTTTAGAAGTTCGGCATCCGCGAAATAAATTATCCTAAGAATTGCTCTAAGGCACTTATGTCTGACCGCAGGTCCTGCTGAGGAACTATACACTTCATAAAGAACACCAAATAATGTCTTAATAAAAGACTTAGCCAGTTCCGGATCCTCTTTCATAAGCTGTGCTCGAGCATCATCCTTCTTTAACTCTGAATATCCACCTGTAATAAAAAAAGTATAATCCTAAAGCTACAGACTTCAGAAACACAATAAAGTAAATAACATAAAGCATTCAAGCTGATGTAATTATCTGAAATGCTACAAAAACTTTTTGGTTATAAAGCAAATTAACTTATCTAATGCAATCAACTGGGGTCTATAAATGGCATTAAGACAAATTTTAGCCAGCTAAAAAACCACCGGCCATTCTGGCCAGCTGAAAAGCACAAGGCACCACTACACTGGATCTCTTATTTTTACTAATATATGTTCCACAAAATATTGGAGATGTTTCAGTATTAGCCAGTTAAACCACTGGTAAGAAATAAACAGAGCTGAAAAACTGGACAGTGAGTATGTAGCAAGAAACTGGAAAAACAAGATGACCTGTCACTTTGATTAGAGGGAATAAGGTGCAGGGGAAAGGTAACAGATGAAAAGCGCTAGAACAGGGGTTGGCAAAGTATGGTCCAAAGGCCCAATCCACCCACCACCTATTTTTGTAAATAAATTTTATCGGAACACAACCACATATATTTGTTTACATATCGTATATGGCTGTTTGGCAGCTACAAGAGCAGTGCTGAATACAGAGACTGCATGGCCTGCAAAGGTTAAAATATTTACTATCTGGTCCTTTTCAGAAACAGTATGCTGACCCTTGCACGCTAGCCTAGACCTGCAAAAGCAATGAACTAAATCCCTCAGGAAAGGAACAAATGACAGAAACCTGAAAAGAAAAAAAAAAATCACAATCACCTATTCTTCATTAATTAAGAGAATTTTGGTGGGAAAGTATAAAATAAAAGGTTGGAAAGAACTAATATGATGGGGTGTGAGTGGATCCAAAGATAAAACAGGGATAAAAGGATCGGATTTAAAAAACTGCATGGGCTGCAGAGAACAAACTGGCGGTTGCCAAAGGGGAGGGGGTGAGGGGAGAAAAGAAGTAAGTGAGGGAGATTAAGGGGAACAAACTTCCAGGTGCAGAATAAAGGAGGCACGAGTAAGAAAGGTACAGCATGGAGAATACAGTCACTTACTGTTGTATATAATACCTTTGGTGACAGATAGTAAGTAGACTTATCATGGCGATCATTTGAAATGTACAGAAGTACTGAATCACTATGTTGTGTAACAGGAGCTAACATAGTGTTGTAAGTTCATTATACTTCAAAACCAAACTCAAAGAGATCTGATTTGTGGTTACTGGGGCGGGGGCGGGGGTTGGGGTGGGGGGGGAGGGGGGCGACGGGGGGCGGACTGGATGAATGCAGTCAAAAGGTATAAGCTTTTCCAGTTATAAGGTAAATTAGTACTAGGGATGTAACGTACATGACAAATGTAGTTAACACTGCTGATGTTATATATGAACGTTAAGAGTTTCTTACCACACACAAAATTTTTTTTTCTATTTCTTTAATTTCTATCTATGAGAAGCTGGATGTTCACTCAACTTATGTGATAATCATTTCATGACGTAAGTCAAGCCATTATGTTGTACACCTTAAACTTACACAGTGCTGTGTGTCAATTATATCTCAATAACACTGGAAGGCGGTGGTGGGGAAAGGGATGCACAGGACAATTCTGACTAGAGTCCAGGACACTGCAAATCACAGAAGTAGGAAAATCTTGGGGAAGATGCCAGTTAATATTGGCTCATTTGCCGATTAAAGCAACAACAAAAAATTAATTACTACTATGCAACTGTCTTAAGTTTAATAATAACACTCCATAAAACAATTATTTGTTATTGCAAATACTACTCACAGACAATACAGTACTACTTTTAACTCAAAAGATACTTACTACTGTTAGTATTGGCTAAGGGGTTAGGTTTTCTCTGAATGGCACGTGCTGTTCCCGTGTCCTCATTGATTTGCTGCATAGAATTAAAATCAATAGTATAAACTCGTCCCAGAGTGGACAAGCTTATCTCATCCTCACCGACCTGATGGGCTGCCTGAGAGCAAAGAGAGAGAAACCTTGAATATAAACATGGAGAAATTTATCAACTTAAGACACAGTGGGAACCCTCAATAAATGCTAACTTACATATTTGTTTCATCAGGTTTTAGATGGTGAAGTAACTGAATATACAAGTTTTAATAGTGTGGATGTGACAAAACTCATTCACTCAACAAACCGTTTTTAATTAAACACAAATATATATTACAGGACCTATCAGGTCCCCTGAGACAAATACAGGTAAAATCCTGATGAAGGATCCAGTCATGTAGAATCACTGACATGAAGACGACACTATTTGTGTTAAAAAGGCCTTGAAGACATTGCTGACAGAAAAAAAATTGTTATCCATAAATCTTATTATCTAATTCTTAGGTTAAAATGTTATTTACAGCATGGATTCCTAGCAGCTCATCAAAATCCTCCGTTAAACAAAATGATCCTATAAAATTATCCTTAGGAAACAAAAAAGACTTTACATTTAAATGATGCCCTAAGGTTGAAAGGGACACAATTGGAACTAAAGAAAGTAATCCCCAGGGGTGGCAAATATTACAAAGTATGTATCTCAAATGAGATAATATGATTAACACTGTTTGCTTGATTTTAGACAGCCTAAAGAAGTGATAAAATATTCATTCTTATGGAATTCCTTGGTTGAATGGAAGACAGGACTCTTAGGAAATATAAGACAGTTAACTAACAGTGAAAATACAATTATCGGGAAAATGCTAAAAAGAAGAATGCTTAGCGTTAGAGACCACGACCTACTTATAAACTAAGGCTAACAATGCACAAAGACCAGTCACCTTTAACTTCCTCATAACATAACAGCTAGCTCTGAATTTAGATATTTTCATAAGATCTTCCAATCTTGTAACATGTTTTTCACAAACTCATTTTTAGAAACTAACTAGGGGAAAGGACCTTAAAGAAAAAAAAGTCTAAGTGTCATGTCCTAAAAAATTCTGATTACACAGGTTGAAATTAGAAATTATATTAATACTTAAAGTAACTTATATATGAAAACATTAGTAAATGATGCTTAACTTCTCAGATAATGCAGTGACCCAACACTTCCTAAACTAGGGCAAATATTTTCCTAACCTGAGAAATTTTTGAAATATTTCTGTGCAAACTTAATATGAAGAAGTATATTAAAAGAAAAAAGAATAAAATCACGCATAAAAACCTTCACAGAAAAAATCACGAAATATTTTAGTGTGCTTCTTTCCTTTGCCATTATTCTTCTTTTCTTTTGCAGAGTTCCCAAGAGTCAGTCACATAATTTTTTTGAACATTTTGTTTTCATTTATAGCATATCGTATTTTAAGTCATTAAAATCTATCCCATTACGGTCTGGATTATATGCAAACCTATGTATATTTCACAATTTACTTAATCATTCATCTAAAGCTATATATTTAGATTGTTTCCATATTTTTGCTCTTTAAAAATACTGAGAAGCAGCTACTTGTATGTAATCTTTGCTTTTGAGAGATTTCTTCTGGATAGGAGGTAGAAGGGACTTCTAGAAACATGTAGCCTAACTCCCTCTCATGTTTCCTTTCAGAAATGAGGAAACTATGGAACAAAGATCTTAAATTACTTGCTCCAAGTCAATCAGGTAGTGAGCAGCAGAAGCAGGACTAGAACACCATGTTTTCTGACCTGAACAGAAATGAGGACCTTGTTCTCAGGAGACAAAATGAGAAAATCTTGAGTTAATTCAACATTGAGCACATTTAAGTACACAAGTCCACCTCCCCACTCCAGCCCTGCACCCACTCTCCACCAAAATAAGACATATTTAAACGGTACGATGAAACTACTACCTCAATGATCCGGCTGTCAATCCTGTTATAGGGATGCCAAAGGCCCCGGTCATCACGCCACTGCCATATCGCACCATCTGTGTTCTGTGCATTTCCCTTCTTAAGCATGGTATCAACTGCAAAAATGCCTTCTTTTGGTAAACATGGCATAAGTTCACTGAAAACAAAAGGTGCAATTATTTTAATAAGTAGCTTCCTGAGCTGTCAGTAAATACCAGGTTTCTAAAGTAAAATACCCTCATATAAACCACAGTTATTACTGGCCCAATCTTTACCAGATCAGAGATGTCAGTTCATACAGTTCTTGAGGACTTCGTGGAACAAGATCAATCTGTTCCTGACAACTTCCATTGGAGGCACCACACAGGAGAAAGTGAAGAGTTTCTGCAATGTCTGTAAAACCAACAACAAAAAGCAAAACCCTATGAAACTACTTATATTGCCATATTTAAAAGGCAATCATTGCCTAGGGGGGAAACAATTAGAAATATTTTCTTGTACAGCTATATACCACAGAAATTAAAGTGAAAAATCCAAATGAGTTGTCATTAAAACCTTAAAAAAATTATGAAGATTTAAACAATTTCTTTCTGAGGACATAAAGTTTGAGTCCTAACCTTCCAGCAAGACACCTAATCACAAATCCACTGCAGAGACTTCAGGGATCTTTTATTACTTTCCTTGAGGAGCTTTGCAAAAAAGTGTACTAAACATATTTTATCCTCGACTCAAGTATATTTGTATATTTGTCTTCAATTCAAATATACTGAAAACATGTGACCAACAGAACAAAACAGCAGTTAAAAGCATCTGAAATTACCATATTGTGATCAGGAAAACCTTTACCTTAAATGACAGTAAGCATGCCAACTAAATTTAAAGATCATTAAAATATCCTCTACCACAAGCTTCCATCCCCAGAAGACATCAGTTTATGGAAGAATTTGCAGGAGAACTAGTTTAGTGTACTGACACTGACAGTGAGTGGAGGAAGCCCCCAGGCTCCAAAGGTTTTGGTCATTCTAACAGCTACGCCCTAAAGACAGGGCTGTGTCTCTGTTGGTATCTAAAAAATACTACACATATGCAAAATATACATAAACATTTCATTGAAATGTTCTGCCAGTAATCAGTAAGTTCTGTTGTCAAGGAAAGTATTCACCATTAATTTGGGCAGAGAGGTGTGGATAAATCTCTGACTCACTGAAACTTCACGAACAGTGATTAAAATTTTTAAACAGTTCTTGAAAAAGTCATTTTGCCAACTTTCTTAAGAAATATGAATAGATGGCAATGGTACATTATTAACTTCTTCTTTTTTAAAGAGATCAGAGGATGACAACAAAATGGAAAGAACCAGAGAGGTTCGCGTTACTGAAGTAGAATGATTATGCGGCAAACTTCCTAAAGTATGCAGAAGAGGTGAAAACATTCATCATGCTAAAGAAAAAATTCCAAAACGTTAAAACAAACAAAAGTCAGACAGGAATTTCCCAAACCAGGATATAGGAAAATGCTGTGCCACACCACACGGTAACAAGAGATAATCCTGTAGGCAAACTTCAAGAAATGGGAAAATTCAAGGGGGCCCTAGGGATTTTAATAAGCAAAGTACATTATGACTACGCAAAAAAAGAGTTAAACCTTTCCCAAGCTTATCTAGGCAGAGAGGACTTTGTTCATGGCATAAGCAAAACAGTGTTCTCTGGGATACTAAGTTCAGGAAGGACTCAATGCTGTAAGAGGAATTTCTTCAATAAAGCACCTCAGCAACACTATTTTTCTACAAAATTCTGTGCCATGTGCTAAAATTCATAAGTAATGCGAAATACAAAACTGAGTCCCCCCCCCATCCGCCCCCAAAAAAGTCCTCTTATACCACTTAATATACCATTTGAAGCGGTGGAACAAAGACTGTTTTGTCAGTGAGTGTCATCACTGACTCCCAAGGTAACGTCCTCAGAGATTAGAATTATGGACATGAAATTAACCACAATGATAGGTGCTTCATAAAAAAGTGATCAACGCTCTACCAGCAATAATCACAACAATCTGACATTAACTTGTGAAATCTAAGGTTTAAGAGAGTAATGGGCAATGGCAATAGCAGTGCGATAAAACTCGATACCCTGCACATGTAAGTTTGGGAAAGGCTTAGAAATATTAAAGTAGCAAAGATCAGAGATATTCATCTGTGTAAATAAGTTCCAACACTTTGAGGGAAGAAAGCATTCTGGGATCATAAACTGCTGGAAAATCTAATGTGGGAAAAAAGGACTGCCTATAAGCAAAAGAGAAGCAGTTACTGGTAACATAAAACTCAGAATTCTCCTAATGAAGCATCATTACTTAATTGATATTGTACAGAAAGCAATGACTTTGGGTCTTTAGCCCTACACCAAGGGTAAAATTTTAATATATTATATACTTTAAAAATTGTATGTAGGCAGCATTACTATATTGTCACAACACAAATTTATTACATATTAACATTTTTCTTCCTTTACTATCCAGTGCCCGTGATATTAGCCATTTCTACTTGCTTATGTTGACTTTACTTATTAACAGAGATTAAACTCACGCACACACACAAACACAAGCTGTTTTTCCCGTATAAAATAGAATAATAAAATAGCACTTACTTTGCTTCATAAGTTGAACAGCTAAAGTTGGACAGTTGGAACACATCAAAGAAAACATGCGAACCACCATTATAAACATCCCAGAACTTAGAATTGGTGGAGTTACTACCAATAGTTGTTGAACATTTGTTAGCAGATCTTTGGAGGCAACCTGCTGGAGTAAATTCTTCACAAACACAAGAAAGAAAAAACTGTTACTTCGTGAGGCAGCAATTTAACAACTTCATGAAAATACCAACAAAGACTAAACGCTTACCTCCTCATGTTGAAAGTTGTCCACTAGACGTGCAAAACAAAGGCAAGTGCTTTCTACTGACTTTTTGTCCTTTTTAATAAAGGAAAATAAAGTTTGTTAATATAAAACATTTTCACTGTCGTACGTCACTCCCTTATCCTCTTCCTAACCCCAAATTCTTCAAGACTTGCTTAACTAGATACGAGCTTTGAAAATGCTGTGACCCTAATAAGCAAACAATCAGTAATGTCATGATTTCAAAGCAAAGGGAATCATACTGATAGAACCTCTCTCCTCCATTAAGAACCCAACATATAAAAAGCAAATACAAAGAAAGGGAACAACTTTTGTACTTCTATAATTTCAATACCTAAACGAAAACTATAATAAAGAAAAAATAAACATCCTACCATTCTAAAAAGCATCCTACCTACTCTAAAAAGTAGAAGTGCTTAAAACATGCATTCACTAAAAAGTTGTAAGTAGTTAAGTATGTGTGTGAGCCAGAGGTTTACTGATAGTAAGAAAAACCTGATATAGATTTGCTCTATCATTATGAAAACAATCTAAATACTATTAGACTGATCTTAATGAGAAAACATTTGGAATAACTCTCATAAGAAAAGAAAGAACAATTTAATGGTATAGTTTGATAGACTTCGTTTTTTTCTAATTGATAAATGGGCTTCAGATGTAAAAACTAGGCTTAGCTGTGTAAAAATGAAAGTAATTCTGGTATTATAGAAGTCCTACACCTTTGCTGTCATGATTTAAGTCTAGAAAGAATGCTACAACAACAGGACCCATTATTTAACTTCTCTGATTCTTGGGCCATACTTCCAAAATAAGGTAAACTCACACCTACCTAGAGAACATTTCTAGCCCCCATAAAGTAAAGGTTATCTCAGCCTGCTAAGTTTTTTAAAATAAATAAAAAATGATTGGCACTACTTGTGTCTTGATCATCTTAGAAGCAAATCCTCCAGTGATTCAATAATCAATATTATTCCACCTATCTTATGTAAACACCTTATTTAATATAGGTATACCTCATTTTATTGTGCTTCCCTTTAGTGCACTTCGCAGATACTGCATTTTTGACAAATTGAAGGTTTGTGGAAGCCCTGCACCCAGCAAGTCTGTTGGCACTATTTGTCCAACAGCACTCCCTCACTTCCTGTCTCTGTATTACATTGTGGTAATTCTCCCAACATTTTAAACCCTCTCCCCCTCCACCAGCAAAAAGATTACGAGTCGCTGACGGATCAAATAATGGTTAGCATTTTTTAACAATGAAGGATTTCTTAATTAAGGTATGTACTTTTTTTTTTTAGACACAATGCTATTGCACACTTAATAGACTACATCAGCGGTCCCCAACCTTTTTGGCACCAGGGACCAGTTTCATGGAAGACAATTTTTCCACAGATTTGGGTGGGGGGGGGGGGCCGTGTTTCGGGATGATTCAAGCTCATTACACTTACTGTGCACTCTATTTCTTTCTATTATTATTACACTGTAATATATAATGAAATCATTATACAACTCACCATAACGCAGAATCAGTGGGAGCCCTGAGCTTGTTTTCCTGCAACTACATGGTTCCATCTGGGGGTGATGGGGCCGACTCAGCTCCACCTCAGGTCAACAGGCACTGAATTCTCATAAGGAGCGCATGATCTAGATCCCTCGCATGCGCAGTTCACAGTACAGTTCATGGTCCTATGAGAATCTAATGCCACCACTGATCTGACAGGAGGTGGAGCTCAGGTGGTACTGCGAGCGGTGGGGAGCGGCTGTAAATACAGATGACGCTTCGCTCACTCACCCGCTGCTCACCTCCTGCTGTGCGGCCCAGTTCCTAACAGGCCACAGGCCACCACTACCGGTCTGTCGCCTGGGGATTGGGGCGACTACATTATAGTGTAAAAAGAACTTTCATACGCACTGGGAAACCAAAAAATTCTTGTGGCTTGCTTTATTGTGATATTTCGCTTTACTGCAGTGGTCAGAACTGAACCCACGGTATCTCCGAGGTATGCCTGTATATTTTATGTACCTAATTTTCCCCAAGAAGATTTTAAGCACACTTTGTAAAGGTGACTTAAAAGTCAGATCTCTAAAAAGCTCTTTAGCAATAACAACACTTTGAAACATTACAAGAAAATTCAATTTCTCTAAAATCTCGAAGCTTAACTCACGAACTGTCCTCCACCAGGGGCTCTATAAGCTCTGCTTCTCATACTGCAACACCAGGCCCACTGATTCCATCTACTAATTGCTCCTGTTCTTCTCCAACCCCAGACAGCTGCAGTCTGCATTTCTTATTTCATTTCTATCTGGCACATACATAGTCTCATCTCTCTTCTGATCTTAACCCATACCCTCCTAGTCTTGCCTGCCTAACCCAATATCTTTCAGGAAACGGTGATCTTTCTAAAAGGAAATTCTGATCATATTACATAGGAAACACTCAGTGTTTGCTGAAATAATAAATTTACCCCTGAAGTCAAAATAGTTGAAGATATCATAAACGAAGAAGTACTGTTCATTTGGGTAAATCCACTGAAATTTCATAAAATAACCTAATACAGAGTACATGACTAGGTAACAGGAAAAAACGCAGATCAGAACATTTCCAAGTTACATATCCAGTTGGAAGATTTAAGGCCCTAGTTGAAATCAGCATTTAAAAAAATGTAATACAAACGTTTTATGATACATAAAATAGGTTCATGTTTTACCTGGTGGGTTAGCCTTTGGGTTAGCAATGGGAGGGAATCTGCCACAAAATGAAATTCATCTGGTGTGATACTCTGGCAGCAATTGGCTGCAATTGCTAGTGCATTCCGTTGGGCGTTTATGCTGAAGAACTCTAGATACAGCAAGCAGTCTGCCAAGCCACCCTAAAATACAGGAAACTGTTAAAGCCAAGAAATACCCTTTTATCAGCAATTTTAAAGAAAAGCCTACTAAAAGTCTAGCACATCACTTGGAAACAGCATGTGTACCTTATAGAGACTGCAACCTAGGAACTAATACAAATGTGGATCTAAAATCCAACATTAAATGAAATATAGTCCTTCGGTAACACTTACCGCCTGTAGAATGGCTTTACTGTGTCTACGTGATAACATCTCCAAGGCCGTCAAGGCCTGCTCTGCCACATCAATACACTGAATAACTTGCAGCTGGGAACATATACAAAGGAAACTTAAGGTTATCATTCAAGTTTTTTACTCGTTGCTCATCTTTGCATGAATAAACAACACTTTCTCTAATTTCCATCAATCTATACTGCCTCTAACCTGAAACCCACCATAAGAAACCAGCGATTTATGCGCTTGAGCCAAACATACTGGCAATACTTTTCTTTTCCTTCCAACTACTTTAAAGATATTGAAAAATATGTTTCACATAGAGAATAAACTAAATTCAATTATAACTTTAAATCTTCATATTTAAAATAAACAGGTTGGTTTAGACAACAAATTTTAAAAATCAAGTTTTAAACTTTATACCATATTCCAAAGTTACCAGATAATGCAAATTTTACTGTGCTATGACCCCGAGCAAGGCACTTTGTCTCACCCTTCTCAGCTGTAAAATGAGGGTATAAATAGTTATCAAGCTCACCGGGATGTTTTCTAGAAATAATGAGATTATTTTTAATCAAGTGCTTTAAGTTCTCTGAAAGATTTATACTAAGGCAGTAATTGCTATTATTAAAAAATTATAATACTGGGTTGATTTTACAAATGCTTTATTAGCATCAACTTTAAACTGCCGCTCTGCTAGACGTAAAACATTTTTCTGGAACCTTGGTTAAAAAATATACTTTAGTTAGATAATGGATGCTAAAAAATGTCTTTTAATGTGGCCTCACAATTTGATATACTACTTTAGAATTCAACAGTCAAGAGTTCTCAACTTGATTCCCCTATACCTGCTTTCAAACAAGTTGGGCAAAAGTAGGATTACCTTTTCTAAAAAGACAGGAATTGCATCTACTACAACAGCGGATGATCGAGGAAGTGCTTCCATCATGTATGTTAAGGCTCGACAAGCATGGTTCATCTAGAAAAGAAGTCATTTTTACTCAATAAAAACTCAAAATTTAAATTTGGAGTGGTTTTTAAAAACACAGTACATACTTACAATATCAAAATTATGCTCCATCTGCAGTAATGTTATCTGTTTAAAAAGATTATAACAAAGTATTAGAAGTCCTAGAAGTATTTCTTCTACTTCAACTGAAATAGAACTATATGATCCAAGAATTTTACCATACAAAAATAATATCAAGTTAAAACCTAGCACGCATACACAAGAAATGATTATGCTTAGGAGGGCATGACACATACACTGAAGCACTGACTTGGAATAGTCATCATCAGTGATCCAGGTCAAATGCAAAGCCTGCCTGCTGCTTACAACCAACGCTCCTGGTGCCTCTATTCCCCCATTCAGAAGCTCATTAACGTGTCACTGAGGGCTTAACAGGTGTCAATAAGTCCTATACATAAGTAAACAGACCAGCAATGCACTGACATTTGTTAAATTAACAACTATCAGTACAGATTCAATATCATAGCTTAAACTCTTGTAAATTAGCTTCTCTAAAAGTTGAGCCAAGCACCATTTAACTCAGCTGTAAAGTACACAGTAGTATAGGATTTAAACACGATATTGATCACATCAAAAATGAATTATGCGCTAATTAAAACTCAAAGTAATATAATTATTTTACAGATGCATGAGTTAGTCTAAACATCTGATTTTATTTTAGTTTTTCTTGTGGGAAACACCTTAAGCAGATTTTAACCATGTTTTTCAAAGGAGGGGATGCAAAACTACTACAGATATACACTCCATCTTCCTGAAGCAGCCAAAGCTAACCAAAGAAATTTCCTACCTGGGGAAAGAGACAATCATTCACTGTCTTCTAGTTCAATGGAAATTTTAAATGCATTGAATTTAAGCTGTAAAGTACCTTTCAATTAAATGTACGTCAGACATCAGATATCCTAATGCAATATTCATTTAATATGAATGTCTTCTCAGCTCTGAATTATGCTTGGTAAAATATATCTATACACCAGAGATCCTGATAACTCTTTTTGTTAAACACACAACATAAACACACACACACATGCACAAGCGTGCACACTCTGTCTCAAATCACCTACAAATCAGTCACTTATAAAACACCTACTCTAAATTAAAGTGGTTGTTATGCTAACAGAAAAAGTAGTAAGTTCTCCAATTCTTTAAGGTGGCATGAACCTTGTAATACCACATTTGGGAAGAACTGCTGTAAACAGATTCTTCACCAAAAATGACCGTTTATGGTCACACAGGTGTATGGTGATTGATGGATATATATTTATAATATTCAACTGTGATGAAAGATAAATCTGGACAATTCATTATTAACAGCATGAGCTGACTTGTGCAGGTCTGCCAAGTACTTAAATCTAATCAATACCACCAGCAAATTAAGAAAATTGTATTATGCTAATGTTTCTGCCTAGATTTAACAACTTCTTTATTTAACCAATAAAAACTGGAGTTTAACAGAGATAAGTACATGGTAAACCTAGTCCTTTGTTACTATTTATTTTTAAATGAACAAAAACAAACAAGGAAGTTTAATTCAGGTCATAAAAGCCAGCTATTGAAGAAATCAATAATTTGAGCATGAATATAAACATAGGTAAATGTCAGAGTTACAAAGGCTAATACTGCTTTCATGAAACATTAAAAAATTAATATGCGAACCTGTAGAGTGGAACTGGTAAGACTTGAGAGCTAGCTTTTGTTACCAGGAGGTCTGCATGGCAGAAGGTAAAGAGACTGCTCTATCCTTTATCACTTCCTGCCAGAGCAGAGCCATCCAACAAATAAGAACAGGCCGAATAAAGACTATGTCATCTTGTATTTGACTGGTCTTCACTCAGTTCTCTCCGTAATGTGATAATGTGATCAAATGAGACAATCTGATACTCCAATCACAGTTTCATTTTTGTCAACTTTACTAGATGTGTAAACAAAGACTTGAATGACATTTAGCTTCCAAAGTAAAATACACTATGAATGTATATTCATGCTTATGTTAGTCTTTTGTTACTATTTCATTCAGACTTAATTTTAATCTTAAATTACAGCCTATTTCTTTAATCTAGCATTGAGAAAATTACCAAGCCACTATTTGAAAGATGTATTATGCTCAAGGGCCTACATTTAGTAATGGCAATTTCTCTTCCTGTTGTTTTCACATTAAAAAGCTTAAGCGATTAAGATATTAATAAATTCTAAATATCAACTCACAACTGTGTTGAAAAATCATTAAGATTTAAAAAATTGTTTTTCTATTGTTGAGTACTGTTTTGTTTCTTTTGTTTTTGCTCAACATAAAACCTTTTTTTTTAGCTGGAGGATCCATGTAGTGTTCTGGCTTGACTGCTCTGCCATGCACACTGCTATCAAGCATGAAACCTTGATGGCCCACAAAGAGAACCCACAAGTGAGCTGCTTGTTACTGTCCTGTGAATCACCAGTTTAAAAGAAAAAAGCATATAAGTTTTGGCATAGTACGTCAAGGTATCACCTGATGGGGCTAACAACTTAAAATTTAAAACCACGTAGTCATTGAAGTATCAAAGATAGCATAACTATTCATCAAGAAATGGTTTAGGGTTTCCCTGGTGGCACTGTGGTTAAGAACCCGCCTGCCAATGCAGGGGACACAGGTTCGAGCCCTGGTCCGGGAAGATCCCACATGCTGTGGAGCAACTGAGCCCGTGTGCCACAACTACTGAGCCCACGTGCCACAACTACTGAAGCCTGCGCGCCTAGAGCCCATGCTCTGCAACAGGAGAAGCCACCACAAGGAGAAGCCCGTGCACTGCAACGAAGAGGAGCCCCCACTCGCCGAAACTACAGAAAGCCTGTGCACAGCAACGAAGACCCAACGCAGCCAAAAATAAAATAAAAATAAAAAATAAATTTATAAAAAAAAAGAAATGGTTTAGAAATTTTACTCATTAACAGTCACGCACAATCTCTATAAAGCATGAAATAAAAGCACTAAGCCACACTCTACTATCTCTTAGTTCTATCCTATTTTAAAATTCTTAACGACAATGTTTTTTAGTAAAAAAAAAAAAAAATATATGGGCAGCATTCAGAGGATGACTGGGATAAAACGAGGGGAAGACTCTCTTACCAAAGCTGGAACTACACTCTTGACAGGAAACCCTCCCAGTGTCTCCTCATTTCCCATGACCAATAACTGACACATCTCAATAACTGCCTGGAGTTGCTGGCTTTCATCGCTTGCTTGCAGTCCTTGCAGAAGCTGCTGGGCCTTAGAACCTTCACATGGAAAAAAGAAAATCATTATTTTTAAACACTTAATATTATTACTAGGTGTTAAGTGTGACTTTACATGCTGGCTGCTTTTCTTCTTTGGATCCCAATTAAAGGCTAGGTCTATACCAGTGTTGAGACAGGCTGCCGATTATCCAAGATGTAACTATGGCAGAGTAAATCCAGTTAATTTAAAGTAATGTCACAGTTATTTATATTTTTCTCTTTTAAGTTTTATCTTTTTAAATGAGAGAAGTTGATTGGTATTTAACAGCTGAAACAAAAATTAATATCCATAAGACTAATGTGAACTGCTACCTTCAACATACATGCTTTCAAAAATATGTATATCTAGTGAGCAGAAAGCCTTCTGCAATAATAAAAACCTGGCATACAATGACGCCCAGGCATCAAAGGAAATGTTATATACCTCTAAATACCTCCATCAGAATAAATGGAATCCAAGTAACAGTGAAAAGGGCAAGGAAACAGACAAACAGAACAATGCATCTAACAAAAGGGAATGAAAAGAATGAAATATTTTCTAAAAACAGCAAAAGACTGGCCTTTTCACCTCCTCTCATTTCATGTGCAGATGCTGCTATCAGAGTGCTTTAGAGTACTTCTACTTCTAAGGGTCAATTCCATCGCCCAAACATTTGAAAAATGCTAAGGCTCAACTACCACAATAAATAAGTTATCAATAAACCGAGTAAGACACTCAAAAATAAAGTCTACAAATGTGTTTCAAATTTTCCTGGACACCCTCCTTCTTGTAACCATGATCAACTCCATTAATGCGTATAAACTTATACCTGAGATTACTTTCAAGTCCTTTCCCTTCTGAGACCTTTTCAGTTTATTGTTTGTATTGTTTGGATTTTTTCCATTAAGTACTGAAATGCTTAGAAATGATATATGTTTGGAAACTGTCAATGAATGTGGAATTCATATGAACATCAAAAAAATTTTTTCCCTATGAAGCATCAATGATCTTCTGGGAGGGCATAAACCTTTCAAAGGGATACACAATAATCAGGACAAGGTCTGTTTTCTCTATTAGTTAAGGCTGTGGCTAATGAACTGCATAACTATCACTGCCTAACTCCCTTTACCATAATTAAGAGTCTGTCCAAAAATACACTGCAAGACATTCAAGTTCAAAGGGACAGCATCTTTAAAGTTTTCAAACTAAATACTATCAGTTCCAGTTAGGGCAGGCTTAACATTTTTGGGTTGAAATAATGTGGAAGGAAGAACAAAATGAAGGGAAAGTAACTATGAAAACAAAAGGATCTTCAGCTGCTTCTAGATTTGTTTTTAAAGAATGAAATAGTTCAAACAGAGTATACCCTAATAACAACCACCAAAAATAGGAAAAACTGACGCAAGTCGTTGGATGCTCTATCAACACTGAGGCTGGCAGGTCGAAGCACATGGATCATTTCAGCATGCTCAAACAAATCACCAGGAATACCACTGGACTTCTGGGATGTCCCTAAAAGGACCTTAGGCCAAATGACAACAAAAAGTCACTGCCATTATTTTCCTCTGACATGTGAAGAGAAACCACCTCATACAGATCAGTCAGTTTTGGTTTTAAGGGTAATTTTATACTCCTGAAAATTACCGAGACCCCGTGTGTGTGGTTTAGATCTACTGTTATTTATAAAATGTGTCTGGAACTGAAAGAGAAACATTTTGAAATACTTGGTTAATGCATTACATATTAAACAAAAACTTGTGAAAAAGATCACAATTTTCCAAAACAACAGCAACAAGATACAGTGGCGAGTAGCACTGTTTTGCTGCTGTCGTTGCAAACGGCCTGAGCGCAAGGCTGAATGAGAGAGCTGTGCGCTCACCCCTGCTCCCTCTTCCAAGCCGAGAAACTAGCTTACGAGAGACTAAGCGTGTGGAAAAGCGGGCCTACTCTGCCACAAAGACTACTTAAAAGACATGGATGCGTTAGTAAAGACAAAATTAATGACTGTGTTTTGGAAGCGCATCCTTATGTAAACACGGAGTTTTTTACTAGGACCATGTGACACTGATAAATAAAATACCTCCCAGTAGTCTGGTGCCACTGCCTTGACTCTAATTAAGGCACCAGCAGTTTTACACCCACAACAGCTTTTGCACTTTTAGTTCAAACATGAACAAAGTAGAAAAGGAAAGACCTTAGTAGTTATTATCAGTCTTGACCTTAGGAATTCAATGTAAGGATCTCAGGAACTAGCTTGGAATTTACAGGCCACACTCTGAAAACCACTATCATACATCAGGGGTTGGTAGGCAAACATCTTCTACAAAGAGCCAGAGAGTAAATATTTTGGGTTCTGCAGACCACAAGGTCATTGCTGCCACTACTCGACCCTGGCACTGTGGCACAAAAGCACACACAGCCAGTACATAATCCGAGCATGGCTATATTCCAATCAAACTTCATTTTCAGACACTGAAAATTGAATTTCATTTAAGTTTCAAGTCACAAAACAATTTTTAAACTTTTTCAGCCATTTAAAAAGTAAACATCACTGTTAGTTCACAGGCTATATCAAAACAAAGAGGAGGCCGGTTTGGCCCTTGGGCAGTAGTTTGCCAACTGCTGATACAGAGAGAAAGAGAGCCCACAGCCTTTCAGGGTATCACAGGAGGCTGATGTGTTCAATTGAATCGACCCCACTGGACATTTGCTGAGTTCTGAGGCTGTGAAGAGGGCTGGGGGTTGAGTCAGAAGTTTTGGTAAGACACAGTGAAAACTCCTGCAGTCTCAGGGTGCTCAGAGGACAAAATCCCCACAGAGGAAGGAGGCCTGACTCATACACAGCCAGTGCCCTGCCTTCAGACATCTGCCACACTGTGAAACTGCATAAAGAATAGAAAGTGTAAGTAGACAGACTTGCAAGGTTCTCAATCAAAAAAAACCCTGGGAAACGGTTCCCTGGTGGTCCAGTGGTTAGGACTCTGAGCTTCCTCTGCCGAGGGCCTGGGTTCAATCCCTGGTTGGGGAACTAAGATCCCACAAGCTGCACAGTGCAGCCAAATTCAAAACAAACAAAAACAAACACACAAAAAAACCCTGGCAGGGTCAGAACAGAGAAACACGGATGAGCTAGAGGTGAAATGAGTCATAAAAAAATAACTTGGTCAAAACAAGCTAAAGCCCTGACTAGAGCAAAGTGATCAGCTTCTGACCCTTTAACACAGAAAAAGAGAAAACACTCACTGGTAGAAAACATCACTTGGGGTCTCTTCCGTTCACATAATCAATGATCAGACATATGAAGAGGCAGAGGAATATGTGACTAACAATCAAAAGGGGAAAAAAGACAATAGAAGCAGGCTAACACCCCTAGAAATTATAAAGTAAGTATTCTATAACTATGATTAATAAATTGAAAATATAAGCGTGGACGGACGAAATGGGTAAGAATGTAAAGAATTTCAACAGTGGGACTTCCCTGGCGGTGCAGTGGTTAAGAATCTACCTACCAATGCAGGGGACACAGGTTCAATCCCCGGTCCAGGAAGATCCCACATGCCGCAGAGCAACTAGGCCCGTGCGCCACAACTGCTGAGCCTGTGTTCTAGAGAACGCAAGCCACAACTACTGAGCCCACGTGCCACAACTACTGAGCCCGCACACCTAGAGCCCGTGCTCTGCAACAAGAGAAACCACCTCAATGAGAAGCCCATGCACCGAAACAAGGAGTAGCCCCTGCTCACGGCAACTAGAGAAAGCCCTCGCGCAGCAACGAAGACCCAACGCAGCCATAAATAAATAAATAAATAAAAATAAATAAATAAATTTAAAGGAAAAAAAAGAATTTCAACAGAGAATTGGAATCTATTTTTAAAAATCAAAGAACTGTCTAGAACTGGAAAACAGAGTATCTGAAATTTAAAATTCATTGATGAGTTTAACCAAATACTGAAGAAGACAGCAGAAAAAAGAATTAGTGAATTTGAAATACGGTCAACAGAAAGTTTTCAAACTGGGGGGAAAAGAAAAACCTGGGAAAAACAAAAACAAAAACAGAGCTAGAGAGACATGGTAGATCAAGTCCAAAGTCTGAACATGTACAATCTTGATACTCCCAGAAGAAAAGGAAGGAGAATATCTGAAGAGATGATGAGGTAAGTGAAACAACATATGAAGACATAACGGCCAAGAATCTTCCAAAGCTGATGAAAGTTATCAACTCAGAGATTCAAAGGCTCGGTGGAACCTGAGCAAATTAAAAATGAAAGAAAATGTCACACAGGCCTAATATAGTCAAATTATTAAAAATTAATAATGGTTTGAAAAAGCAAATCTTAAAAGAAGCTGGGAGAAAAGAACTGCCTTGGAAAGGTAACAGTAAGACTTTTAAACAGAAACTATGGAAACCAGAAGAGCACTACAAAGTACTAATATGAGATTTTATACCTGGGGAAATTACCTTTTAAAAATTAAGGCATAACACATATATATGGAATCTTTAAAAAAAAAAATGGTTCTGAAGAACCTAGGGGCAGAACAGGAACAAAGACGCAGACATAGAGAATGGACTTGGGAGGAAGTGAGAGTGGTATTGACATAGACACACTACCAAATGTAAAATAGCTAGCTAGTGGGAAACAGCCGCATAGCACAGGGACATAAGCTCACAGGGACAACAGCTCGGTGCTTTGTGACCACCTAGAGGGGTGGGATAGGGAGGGTGGGAGGGAGACGCAGGAGGGAGGGGATATGGGGATATATGTATACATACAGCTGATTCACTCTGTTATACAGCAGAAACTAACGCAACACTGTAAAGCAATTACACTCCAATAAAGACGTTAAAAAAAAAATTAAGGCAAATCAAGGATTTCTCCAACAAAAGCAGAGAGAAATCATTACTAGCAGTCACTCACTGTATAAAAAAAGTTCTTTAGGCTGAAGGGAAACAATCCTGATAGAAGAAAGGGACTTCAGGAAAGAATTAAGAACACTGGAAATGGTATATATGTGGGCAAAA